TCTTTGACAAACAGAGTGCCAAGAAAAAAAATGTTTGCTAAAAGCACGACAGCTTACCTAATAGGGCTCAAATACAAATATGTACGGATGCCGGATTATAGTGCTCATAGAGACGTGACAAATGAGCACTGCAATGTGTACAAACATGTTCTGACACCATCTTTATTTTGTCTCATTCCTACTCTGAAATCAAAGCATGCATTCTTGAGCAAAATAAGCGCAAATTATTTTCATTTCATTTATCATACCCAATCAACCAACGTGCCAACCTCTTGCATGTGGGAATGGGTGCCTCGTACAAACTTCTCAGCCCAGCAAGAAGGAATGAAGGAAGATGCTCCTTTATGCTTTCTAATGGCTGTGATGTGGCCCTAGGGGGGTGGGGGTGGGGGATGGGGGACCAGGTTCTGGCCTGGAGATGGACACTGGGCATCCCCTAATCTGGGAGGTATGTTCTCACAGAAAAGAGTAGAAACCTGTACTTAAAAAAAAAGAGAGAAAGAAAAGAAAGAAACCTGTACTATTGCCGCAACATGATAGTTTAAGGATCTCAGAAACTTGTCTTAAACCCCCCAAAATGACTTAAGAGGAATTGAAAGCCTTAGTGCTTCTGAGACCCAGCATGTGAGGAAATGAAAGGACAGAGCTGGAAAGAAATTGTACTTCTGCAAAGACGGCCCCTAGAAGGAAATGGATCCCCCCCATTCCCAGAGCAAGAAAAGCCTCCTGATTTTTGCCCGCTCCTTGGCTCCCAAAGAGGCTCACTTAACAGATTTTTTCACACTTATTCTTTCGGTGGCATCTTGGCCATCAGCAGCCATTCTCAGGATAGGTCTGCCTTACGGTCCTTGACTAAGGATATATTTCCCAGGAATGTTCTGAATTTTCTTATACCCTAAAGAGTGAAGCCATTCCTCTGTTCAGACTTGGTTATTAGATTCCACCTTAAAGTATCGGGGGGGGGGGGGGGCGGATTATAGGCAGTGCGTGGATTAACTGTCCCTGGGTACTGGGGAGGGAGAGGAGGGAGCCCCGGCCAGAGTCAGGAGTCCTGGGTTTGAATCCTAGATCTGTGCCTCAGGCCTTCCAACAACCTTCCACCTGTATGCACCGTGGGCTTTTCAGAGCCAATGGACTACCCTTCTGCCAGCTTTGTCTGGCTGGATCCTAGGAGCAGGGTGGCACCAGGAAGAGAAAAGAATAAGATGCAGGGGAGGGAGGTTGTATCAAGTGCCTGAAAGGCCTGTGTTTTCCTTCTTTATTCTCCAGTCTGCCAAACAAAAAGCTTTTTATTGCCAGTTTTCGCCACCTACTGGTTGATGTTTAACAGTGTCATTCAGAAAGTTCTCTTCATCCATCACCAGCATAAACACATCCAAAGTTCATGAAATGCAAAAAGGACATTATTCTAATCTGGACATATGGGCATGTAGTAAATCTTACTATTAAACTTTTTATCTAAAATGAGGATAGAGGGGCGCCTGCGTGGCTCAGTGGGTGGAGCATCTGCCTCCAGCTCATACCTTGATCCCAGGATCCTAGGATGGCGCCCCACATCGGGGATTCCCTGCTTGGTGGGGAGTCTGCTTCTCCCTCTCTCTGTTCCCCGTTCCCCCTGCTTGTGCTTGCTCTCTCCCCCTCTCTCTGTCAAATAAGTAAAATCTTTAAAAAAATAAAAATAAAATGAGGGTAGAAAAGCACCACTAATCGAGAGGGAATTGACAACTAACAGATAAGGTAAAAGAGTTAAAAATATAAAATACGTCGGAACCATTCAGGCAAACTAAAGTGGAAATAAATGAGGAAGAACAAACAGAGGTCACTTAACCTGCAAAACAAAAAAAAAGAAAAAACTGCTTAAAAAAATATCCCCCAGGCCTGCCCAAGCAATCCAAAACACTGACTTCCAATTTCAAGCGTCTTCTATATTATCATTTCCAGCTTTACTGAGATATAATTGACATAGCTTATAGATTATGAACTCTTGGGATGCCTGGGTGGCTCAGTGGTTGGGTGCGTGCCTTCGGCTCAGGTCATGATCCCGGAATCTGGGATCAAGTCCCACATTGGGCTCCCCTGTGAGGAGCCTGCTTCTCCCTCTGCCTGGGTCTCTGTCCCCCTCTCTGTATCTCATGAAACAATAAATAACTCTTTAAAAAAAAAAAAAAAAGATTGTGAACTCTTATGCAATAGCGTCACCTGCTTTCCCATGGTTTGCCTCTGTTGTTGGTAATTATCAGAATATTATAATACTAATTGCCAATTAGCATTAGTTACTAACAGTAATACTGTTCCCAGTTCATTAATGCTCTAGCGCCTGTCTTCTGCTACAGAAATGACTGCAACCAATTTGTCCACTATGTGCTCTCAAACCATCCTTGTCATCACAAGGAAGCACTTTTGCCAAATCTAGAGCAATAGGCCTTGGTTTAAACAGAGAAACCTACTTGAATAATTTATGGTAAATCCTAAACCTCAAAAAGTGTTTAGAATAATTAAGCAACAACCTTTGAAGCTAGGTAATGAACTGCAGCTGAATCATTCTGTTGTGTGAGTTTAAGAGCGGGCAAATCATGTTTGCTTCTGGTTCACAAAGACGAGTGCAGGAAATTTCCTTGTGGCAATTTTTCCTTTCAAATTCACGACCTGGCATCTAAAGTGAAATAAAACACGAGCAGGGAATTAAATGTTTCAAATGGTTACTGCTGCAGTTGGATCAAAACTACAGTAATAGACCCAGACAATGTAAAACCCCATAGTATGTTGGGGAAATAGGGAAAGAATTTACATTCTTCTGTGCAATGACCTTTATTCTCTTATGTGATTTAGCACAGAGCACAAGGTCTCCCGGATTACTTCCTGATGAACATGTTTAGAGAAATAAGGTTAATGTTTTTGTTTCCTAGGACTGCCACAAGAAAGTACCACAAACTAGGCAGATTGAAACAGAAATTTATTCTCCTACAGTTTAAGGAGGCATGAAGTCCAAAACCACGGTCTCAAATGGGCCATGCTCCCTCTGAAGGCTCCAGGGAAAAATCTCTCCTCGCCTCTTTCCTAGCTTCTGGAGGTGGTTGGCAGTCCTTGGTGTTCCTGGGCATGCACCCGCATCACTCTGATCTGCCTCTGTTGTCACATGGCTTTCTCCGTGTCTCTCTGTGTTCTATTCTTGTAAGGTCACTGCCATATTGGATTAGAAGCCAAATAACCTCATCATAACTCAGTTATATCTATAAAGGTCCTATTTCCAAGTAAGGTCACATTCACGGGTATTGAGGGTTAAGAGGGCAACATCTTTTGAGGGCACACAACTCAACCCAAACAGTGTATGTATCTAAAGTTGGGATCTTTCCAACTAATGAGAATGGTTTACTCCAAGGCTCAAGGGCTCAGCAAACCCTGAGTTTCAAGGGGAAGCATGATCTTTTTACAGCTCAAATCTGGCCATTTTATATTTCTGCTCAAAGTTCTTCAGAGGCGAAAATCTCAACTCCTCTGCATGACATGATCAGGTGCAAGTCTATCACCTGGGCACCACCCTTTCCTTATACATTCTCTTCTTACCGCCCTGTTAACTCTGTGCGCTTTCTGGAATATACCAAGATCTCTCATGGTTTTTGCCTTAGCACATCTTCTCATCTCCCTGAAATGCACCCAACCTTCTTGCAGCAAATTCACACTCATTCTTTGAGTTCCATTTCCAGGACTTCTTCCCCTGTGACACCACAACTGACTTCCCTGGGCAGTCCTAGGAGCCCACCTGTGTCCCCAGAAAAGGGTTAATACAGAAAACAGGAGTTTAAAGTCAGAATACAGGGGTTTGAATCTGGGCTCCATTGCATCATAGCTGCGACCTTGGGCTAATGACTCAACCTCTCTATGACTATGCCCCTCCATGTCAGGGGGATATAAACAGTACCACTTGAGGTTTAGTGTATGATTGAGATGAATTCAATGTGATGCGCTCACAACAGAGACCGGCACGGGTTAGGTTTTCAGTGTTAATTATGATATCTTAATCATAGCTATTGTCAGATTCACAGTGTAATTTCTGGCATATGTTTTTCTCTGTAGATAATAAACTATTTGAGGATAGGGACTATATTTTTCCTTTGTGCATTCCCAGCCTAGAATAGCATCTGACATTCAAACATTTGCGGCATAAAATTTAGAGGCCCCAAGCTGAAGAAAGGAATGGGGCGCGGTTCCTCTTTCTCCGGGAAGACTTGTAAGAGACTTCAGAGAGATGAAGGAGTGGGGAGGGAAGAAAACAAGAAATGTAATCACCACCAGGGAGAGACAAACTGTTTATGCAGAGTAGTAATCCTGGGAGCCTGGATGCCAAGCTCATCATAGGTGCTCAATAAATATAAGTTGTGAGGGGAAATTGAGGGTATAAAATCAGAACACAAGAATGTTTTTCTTTTTAAATATCCAAATATAAAAATTATAGAAAGGGTATCATATGCCAATAATGCTATATACAGTGCTAGAATTTAGAGAAGGCTTAAGTTTGCAAACCAAGATATCCAAAGAATCTCTTCACAATGTAAACCAAGTTTTCCCATTTAAAGATTAAGGAATGTTAAGATTATGATATGTTATTTTATATACTGTTCTTCGGTATCCTTCAGAATCTAAGAGATATTTCATTGTTAGTATATGCAGGTTTAAAGTAGGAGAAATCTACTTGTTTTTATATGAAGTGTAATTTTACATTAAGAAATTTTACTAAATTCTGCTTTTCTTACGCTTTTACTCATGTATCCCATATCTGAGTCACACAAATACAGAACGTATTTGAAACTGAGGCTCAGAATACCAAGTACTTACTCTGAAAACATGACCAAAAAACATGTTCCAAAAAAAATGACCACAATCAAGCCTTCTCAATGTCTAGGATGCAAGGTTAGGATAACATTAGAAAGGAAATCTGTGTTTTGCTTAAGTGACTCTTAAGAAATGCAAATTTCTAAAAAAAAAATACATTTTCAAATCTGTAAAGCTTGTTCCCCATTTATTTTTTGTTGTGATTCAGAAATACAAGATAAGAAAATTAAGTTACAATTCTGCCACAAAAGCTCCTAAAGTAGCAAACACAAGTTCTAATATATATCAAAATAGCCATGTGCATTCTTACAGTTTAAAAATGTCTTTAGAGTTGTCCCATCAAGCAAGTGTAAAATATAATAGCTATTATCTCCTCTTCAAAATATCAAATCTGCTGTCACTGTAGTGCACTACACAAGATTTAGTCCAGAATATGGAAGGTTATGGTTAGGACGTACTTCTTAAAGCTGAGTTACTAAGAATTAAGGACATGAGGAAGATACAAAGCATTGTATGTCAAAAACTATGAATATTTAAAAGTGTCCTCATGTGAGTAAGACATGTTTAAATTAGAACATGAGGTAATAAAATTAAATCTGTTGATGATATAACTCAGTAAAAAAAAAAATTTTTTTTTCTTCTAGAAAGACAAAGACATACAATTCTTTGAATTGAAGCGACTATTTCCAAAAACGCTTTATCATTTAAATATTAGAAATGCTCTCTCAATGTTTCAGGTCCAAGGACCAACAATGTATGGTTTAACCAACAGATTTGTAACTGGACATATCTAAGTATCAATGCAAAGAGGGCATGATTAATACCATTTTTCATTTCTTTTCAGCTGTGAAAATTACATTTCAAAAAATACAGAAAAGAACAATTCCCCTGACTTGGTTTTTGTAAAAAGAAATGAAGATTGTTTCTTGTACCTTTTTCAACGATGAAGGGTCCTTGAATATATTTTGGAATTTCTATGGATGAATGATGTTTGGCATTTTAAAATAAATACAGTCACAAATACGCTACAATAAAACAGTAAAACCAAACTCAGCAGAGGCAAGCACTTCAGAACCAACACTCACATAATAAACCATTGTTCACAAACAGAAAGCCAACATTTCAACAGAATTGTAATTAAACTCCTTCTTCCACAGGTAAGATATATTCACTTCTGGGTACAGTACAAAGTGTTGAATCAATGACCCCTTAAGAAAAAAAAAAAAAAAAGCCAAGAGGTTCCTGAACAATCTGACTCAGAGATTTTTTTGTGTTTTTTTTTCTCTCCCCTGAGCAAACAAAACAACAACAAGTCAGTGTAAAAAATGTACAAAAACTGAACCAAAAAAAGATAAAAAATATAGTTTGCCTTTGTAATATTTTAATGTTTTGGATGAAATCAGATCTTTGTGTGATGCTGCTAAATGTCTATAATCCTTTATTCAAACCATTCTGGCCAGGTGCGCTTCAGAATTCCTAATTTTTTAGATTTGGAGAAAGGTGTGATATGGGGCATATACTGAATATTATAAAACACCTCCATAGAATCGGGGGCAATACCTATAATCAAACCCACTGGTGTTTCTTTGAGAAAAATTAATGAATAGTTGATGAAATGGGCAAATTAAAACTATAATACATCAGTTCCAGTCAGGTTTTATTATCAAGTGAATAATGGCACCAAATTGAGGAAGAAAGGAGAAAAAACCCTTAGTTTCAAAACATTTGGTCATGGAACTTTGGCCCTTTAACAGCTTTGACAAAGAAGACCGATTCCCTGATATTATGATCCACACAAAATCTGCTCTCATGCCAGAGCTTCAACTGGGTTGGGATACTACTTCCCACACAGAACAGGGGCTCTTAAATTTGTCCAGGTAGCAGATTACCTAGAGGTGACAGTACAGTCTATGAGGATACCTTGAGAACTGTATATTGAAATAACCATGGTTAAAATAGTTAACTGCATTAAAGTGAGACACCACCTTAGACTAGATTTTTATCTATTAGTTCAGCAGTAGAAGGTGCCAACATTCAAGGAACATTTATGAGAGAAAAATAAAAGTGAGAAACATCCAGATAGTAATGTGTTTTCTGTGAATTAGGGAAATACAGCCATTACTCTATCTTAAGAGGCTGCGAAATATGACCTAATGTAGCTTGCAAACGATGGCTATTTAAGACGGAAAGACTCATGAAAGCTACTATGGCATCAACCCACCCCCATAAACTGCAATGAAGTCATTCCAAGCAACTTATATATTAAATGATCTCTTCTGTCTTTGTCAGTGTTAAGATATACCATTCTCAGGCCATCATTAAAAGGATGCCATGGATTAAAGCCATTATAATATCTTACTTTTAAAAAATTAAGTGATTTCAAAGTCAAGAGGTTCAAAAACTCAAGAGCAAAAAAAATGGTTTGCTATTAATTTTTAGGTCTTTTATCTTTTGTATGCATAGTATATGCATACTGTGTATGTAAGAAGGAGGGGGTATAGCATTGTGATGAAGAGGACTGTCCCTAAGTAGAAGAACACATACAGTGACAGGATGAAGCAGGAAACATTGGCCAAAACTCATCAGAGGCACTTATTGTGGAAATCCACTAACTGAGCAACAGAGCCTGTGATCTGAACACAGCATTCACGGGGCCAAGAGGATTCCAGGGCTTATGTTTGGGTGTGATGACTGGGCTTTCTTAACATGTGGCATGAAGAGAAGGCTCTCGGGTTAAGTGGGAATCACAGAAAGAATGGGTGATGATTTTCTTTCAAAAATGAGTATCTTCAAAATTGGCCTTGTCCTATCTTTCTCTTAATGAAGAAAATGTAAATATACAATCCACAGCCTTTCTTAAAAGCTACATATATGCTAGGAGAAGAATGTCACACTTTTTCATTTTTTCACCTGTTTTAATTCATGAATTAATTTAAAAAGTCAAGTCAAAATATTTTAACTGGTCTTTTTATATATATAAAAATATTATAGCAGTATCAGCAAAATAGGAGGGAGAGATGGAAAGAATGACAAGACACTCTAATGGAATGGGTGAGCTCCGTGTCATCATGGCTGTTGAAGAAATTGTAAACTTTTAAGCTTCTAAGGTTTTATTTCTCTTCAGAAAACATTTTAGGAGGCTGCCTTTCCTCACGAATGAAAAAAAAAAAGTGCTCTACGCATTCAAGTCTAAAGAAGACAAGAAAGCATTATTTTTCCTACGGGAAAATCTTTCTTTCCTTCCCTTCCAGTGCATTGCCCTCTCTCATCCCCCTACATTCTTATGGGATCAAAGAGAGAGAGAAGCCACAAGTTTCCACCAGAAGCACAGTGAGTCAGGGACATTATCATGCATTCAGACCCTCCAGCAATATATAAAACTCATCTTAAATAAAATACACCATGTTTAAAAAAAAAAAAAAGGCCCCAGTAACCCATAAACTGCCTTTCATGGAAGGTTAAAAAGGCCCCAAGGCTTCGTCTTATATGTATCATAAGGAACATTTCTGGAATTAATCTCAATAGAGGAAAAAAAAAGAATAAATAGAAAAATGTAAAGGATCATTCTGGAATGATGTTCTTTACCCTGCTCACCATGCTATTCGTTCCCATAGGGTCATCACCTCTCCGTCTCAGAGAATCAATGGTCTCCTGTTCCATATTTGCATAGTATTAATAAGATCGCCTGGAGCTGAACGTCTATCCCCTCACCCGCAGCCAGGTTTCTGAAGAGCACTGGTCCAATCTCACATATTCAAAAGCAATACATACGTGTCTGTAGGCCAAAAACTGGGTCCCTTTTAGCAGCAAGCTGTTCAGATTATTTAGAAACAGTCTTTTCCCAAGGGGTAAGGATTAGGCAGTTTTGTCTGCAATTTCCGATTTTGCTCTCTGCATCATGCAGCGACGCACTATGCTGTCGAAACTTCCGAGGTAAAACAGTGCGATGGTGCGGAAGAGGCCCATGGTGACCACCTGCGAGAGACAGAGAGACCCCTGAGCTCGTTCCACGGCACAACACCACAGCTCACTTCAAGGGGTTTTAAAATATTCTCTAATCAAGAGTTTCTAAGACACATCTTCTAATCTGCTCCCAGGATAAGCATGATGGAAACTCCCAAATTGGGGTAAGCCTGGATGGTGGCTCAGTGGGTTAAGCGTCTGCCTTGGGCTCAGGTCATGATCTCATCTCAAGGTCCTGGAAGTGAGTCCCAAGTCAGGCTCCCTGCTCAGCAGGGAGTCTGCTTCTCCCTCTGCCCCTCCTCGTGCTCTCTCTCTCTCTCGCCCTCTCAAATAAATAGAATCTTTAAAATAAAATAAGAAAACAAAACTCCATAAGCATCAGCAAAACACTGAGCAGAGAAGCTTTCTGCTCTGGCCCCCTGTACATGTGCCTGTTAGAATTAGGTGCCCAATGAATAAATTCAAATTATACAGAGAACAAAATAGTTATTCTTGGTAGTCCTCAGGTTCTAATAGCTAAGGAAGATCCACTCCAGCACCCCAAATATCCCAACTACCATCAAGGCTTTCTGGTTTAAGACATATGTTCTGATCACAAGAGTCAGACCCTATGCTAGGTGCCACCACTGTGAGAAAGACACAGCCTGCCCTCCATGAGCATCTTCGGTAACTGGAAAGATACCCAACTAGAGGCAGGTCATTCCTGTGTTGGGTTGGGACAGTGGGTATCTACTAATCGCCAAGCTTTCTGCCAACTCGCTCTCCCTGCAACACCTCAGACTGGAATGTTTTAAAGGCACAGAACAACAAAGAGAAGCATTTTCAAATACGCTAGTTCTCAGACAATCTGCCTCCCATGGGTGCCTTTTCAGAAAAGTAGAAGACTAGAAAAGCCACATTACGGGGCCCACAAAGAAAGATGACATCATGTGACCCAGAACAGATGAGAGGCAGAGGAGACTCCAGACACAAGGCAGGCAGGCCTGACAGGTAGCTCAGAAGGCTCCAGGAAGGATTTCTTCCAGAAGGGAAACTGAGAGACAGTCTGATATTTCTGAGAGGAAAGGAAGACAGTCATTATTAAGAACACAGAAAAAGGTCAGTAATGGTTCTAGGGAAAAGAAAAGGTAAAGGAAAATTAATTATGTATACTACAGAGTTCATCTGTAAAGAGCATTCACGTAGCCATAACAATGATTGTCTCAAACACAGATCCACCCAAAATCACATTAGAAGTTAAAAGGGAGGGATCCCTGGGTGGCGCAGCGGTTTGGCGCCTGCCTTTGGCCTAGGGCGCGATCCTGGAGACCCGGGATCGAATCCCACGTTGGGCTCCCGGTGCATGGAGCCTGCTTCTCCCTCTGCCTATGTCTCTGCCCCTCTCTCTCTCTCTCTGTGTGTGACTATCATAAATAAATAAAAATCTAAAAAAAAATAATAATAACATCTATTAAAAAAAAAAAAGAAGTTAAAAGGGAGGGTGGGAATGGAGAGGACGCTGCAAGTGAAAGGAGGAGACTGTGAGGACCTAAATCTTCCTCCTTCTTGGAAGATGCCCATGCTGGACCCCAACCTGAGAAATCCACAGAGTTGGCTGTATAAGTCTATACTCTAGATACACTCTAGATAGAGCCTGGAGGTAGCCAGGCTAGTCTACACTCAGATATACTCTAGATGGAGACTGGAGGCAGCCGTGTAAGTCTACACTCTAGATACACTCTAGATGGACCCTGGAGGCTGCCATTTAAGTCTATACTCCGGATACACTCTATATGGAGACAGGAGGCTGCCATCTAAGTCTACACTCTAGATAGAGCCTGGAGGCAGCCGTGTAGGTCTGCACTCCAGATGCATTCTAGATGGAGACTAGAGGCTGCCATCTAAAGTCTACACTCCGGATACATTCTAGATGGAGCCAGGAGGCTGCTGTCTACTATACTCCAGATACACTCTAGATGGGGACTAGAGGCAGCCATGTAAGTCTATACTCCAGATACACTCTAGATGGAGACTGGAGGTGGCCGTGTAAGTCCACACTCAGATACACTCTAGATGGAGCCTGGAGGCAGCCATATAAGTCTACACTCTGGATACACTCTAAATGGAGCCTGGAGGCACCTGTGTAAGTCTTCACTCCAGGAACACTCTCAATAGAGATGTGGAGGCCCAGCCTACAGAACAGTGCGGCTGCGTCTGAGAAGGGTGAGGGGGGCATGCAGCAATAGGGTGGTTGTTGTTCCCACAGAGCCTTGAAAACACTGGTTCTCTGAAGGGTGTGCTCAGATAACTTTGAAAAGCTCAAGAACCAGGGATCCCTGGGTGGCGCAGCGGTTTGGCGCCTGCCTTTGGCCCAGGGCGCGATCCTGGAGACCAGGGATCGAATCCCACGTCGGGCTCCCGGTGCATGGAGCCTGCTTCTCCCTCTGCCTGTGTCTCTGCCTCTCTCTCTCTCTCTCTGTATGACTATCGTAAATAAATTAAAAAAAAAAAAATCTTTAAAAAAAAAAAGAAAAAAGCTCAAGAACCAAAGGAAAGCAGAAAAAGGCAAAACAATGGGGACAGGGGGAAGGGAGGAGCAGGAGGGGCATGGGTAAATGTTGGGGTGGGGAACTACTCCATGTGACAGCCTAATGGTGGACACGTGGTCACATACATACATGTCAGCAGACATACATGTCAGTACACACTTGTCAAAACCCTGAGGAAGGGTGTGGGACACCAAGAGTAAACCCTAATGTAAACCATGGACTTCAGGTAATACTGGTGGCTGGATATGGCTCATCAACCGTGCCGACGTCCCATGGAGATAGGAAGACAGGGTGTATGGGAACTCCATAATTTCAACTCAAATTTTCTATGAACATAAAACTACCCTAAAAAGAGTATATTATTTAAAATATATATATAAATAAAAATAAGGGAAAGAAAAAAATCAAGAAAAAGCGACCAGAACACAGCATGCCAAAATGCTAAAATAGTTAAGTCTAAGAAATTGGAATTTTCTAGAAAAAGCATCACCTAAAGTAAGACCTGAAAGAAGGCTGGAAGTTGGTCAGACAAAGGAAGGCTGGGGCTGGATGGTCAGAGACAAGATCATGGAAAGAGGAGGAGGGGCAGGAAGGTGAGCAAGGTCAAAGGTCAGAGGGTTATGCCCCAAGCTGAAGTAGAACCTTTACCTCAGTGGTACTGGGGAGCCAGTGAGGGTTGCCATGCAAGGTGGATTTGTAGTTCAGAAAATCCTGCATGGAAATGTGATGGCACATTCTGATGCACCCAGGCCTGGGGCAGGGTGCTGTGAGGTCAAGGGGATGGGGGGCCGTGTCCTGTGTAACAGCAGCGGCAGCCACCTGCCCCAGCCGATTACTGCCAGGTGAGAATGCAGACCCTGTGCTGTTAGGCCTTCTGATTTTCCACGAAAAGTCTGAAATCTGGACGATTTATGGAAAATCTGACTTTAAAACCATTTTATTTCAACATGCACACTCATACTAGATGAACTGAACAAAACATTCTATAGGTCCATGGGTCCCCAGCTGACAATCTCTGGTTCACAGAGCCTGAGACCCAGGACTGGAGGGAGGAGAGACCCCTCACATGCGGGGCAGGAGGGGGTCCAGGCGGACACCTGCTTCCTCTCTGGGCTCTTGAGTTAACAGGAACACTGACCCCAATCACGGAGACAATACAGAATCGGTGATGGGGCAGCGGGGACGGAATGCTGGGAAATGCAGCTTTACTGCAGGCACGCTGAACTGGAGATGTGAGGTCACAGCCCAGGGAAAACACCTGAAAGAAACTGATACAGAACTGGAGTGGAGGTAATAGTCACGGGCTGAAGTTTTAGGTCTGGCATCACTCGTATACAAGTGGGAGAAGGGAGAAGACGGCTACGGGACGTGTGGAATTAATGCATTTGCTCTCCTCAGGCAGCCCGTGGCTCCTACTATATGCCAGGCACCAGCTGTGAGGGGCCGTCCTCACAGAGCTCATGTGTAATATGACATCTACCTCTGAGAGAGTCAACAAAGTCACGGAAGAGAAGAGTGAGAAAAAGCCCACACCCAAGTCATTCAGGTTTTTAGTCTGGACATGGTCTACCGCACACAGCTTGGTACTTGGTTCTAAACCACCCATGAACGCAGACAGCCCCTTCTCAGGCAGCCTTCCACCCTCCAGCTACATTCCACCATCCATCATCCGGTCTATGCAGAGCCAGCCCTCTGTTGGCTTGTTTTATTACATTGCCTTGTATCACCTTTTTGTCCATCTCCTCCCTAGACCGTGAGCCCCTGAGGTTGTAGAGGTTGCTTCCCTTCTGATTCTCCAGCAGCAAACACGGCCCCCCAGCACATCAACGAGCGGTTCACTTCTGTGTGGCCTGGATGAACCACAGCTTTCCTAAGAGGAGGGCTGTGTTGAATCCTTGACTTGCACCTCCCTAAGCTGGGCTGCCTGTGACCGGACTCACCTAGAAGAGGTGTCTGGCCTGCCGTCTGGTACCCTACATCACTCTACCGCAGACACTAGGGCCAGTGGTTCTCAGATGACAACCTGAGTGAACACCCTGAGAGCAGAGATGGCGATCCCTTTCTATCCACAGTGCCAGGAGCACAGAAGACCTCACCCCTGTCTGAACCCCTCACGTGGTATCTTTAACCTGCGTCCCAGTTTCTTATCTCTGCCACAGCAAAAGAAAGCATGGATACTGCAGTAAAAATTCTTCACTTCCTCAGATAAAGTTACCGAGTCTTCTGTTAACCTTTTCTCATTGGGCTTTAGTGAGAGGCATGATCTGTCCCTCCATCTGTCCATCTGGAGGTGTAAGCATAGCTCACCTGCTGGAGCCCTTCAGTAATGGAAGTTACAGGAGCCATTCCACAGGTCAGGGACGACAGCATGTACCCGTCTGAGCCAATGGAACTGTTAAAATTTCCTTGCTAAAATGGAAGGACAAGAAAAGAGGCAGCAGTAGTGACCAGGAAAGGAATCAACACATCAGAAGTGACGAAGTTGTGTGGGGCGCCTGGGAGGCTCAGTTGGGCAAGTGTCCAACTTATGATATGGACTCTGGTCATGATCTCAGGCTCATGAGTTCAAGCCCTACATGGGGCTACATACTGGGCACAGAGTTCTGCTTAAGATTGTCTCTCTCCCACTCCCTTTGCCCCTCCTGCTCTCTCTCTTGTACTCTCTCTAAAAAAAAAATTTATTAAAGATTTAAAAAAAAAGAAACAATGAAGGGTATCCACATTAGGTGGCATAAGAGAGTAACAGAGCATACGTTACTCTCATAGACAAACGAGGCCTTGGCAGGTGGGATGGAACGGCTATACCCGTGGTCCTCAGAATGTGGGTCCATGAACACTGGGGGTCCTGAGACCTTTTCAGAGGATCCAGGAACACAGAATGATACTAATTACTATTAGTATCATAATAATACTAAGACCTTACCTGCTTTTTCACTGACATTTGCATTGATGGGCAAAACTGATGAATCAGTACAAACCACAGTGGCGGTGCCTCTCCACTGCCATGTATACTTGCAGCAATAAATAGACAGGAATTTTTAAAATCTTCCAAAGATTTTAAAAGGTCATTTTTGCTTTACAATGCCCTTGATAGTGATGCCTGGGTTGAGTGTCTGCCTTTGGTTCAGGTCGCGATCCCAGGGTCCTGGGATCAAGTCCTGCATCCAGCTCCCCCACAGGGAGCCTGCTTCTCCCTCTGCCTGTGTCTCTGCCTCTTTCTCGGACTAAATAAATAAAATCTTTAAGATACATTAATTAATTAATCAATCAATTAATTAATTAACAAAATGCCCTTAATAAAGCAGTGCACCTGGGTGGCTCAGTTGGTTGAGCATCTGACTCTTGGCTTCAGCTCATGTTGTGAACTCAGGTTCATGGGCTCGAGCCCTGAGCCCCATGCGTCAGGGTCCCTGCTCAGCGGGGAGTCTGCTTCTCTCCCTCTCCCTCTGCCCCTCCCTCTGCTCACATGCTCTCTCTCTCCTGCCCTTTCTCTAATAAATAAATCTTCAAAAAAATAAATAAAACGCTCTTGAAAAAGCAGTAAAATTAATCATTTTATTAAGTCTCAACCCTTAAGAGCAAATCTTCTTACTATTCTGTGTGACAAAAAGAGAATATATACCCAGTGCCTTCTACTGTGTTCTGTACCCAAGGGGTACAGCTGCCCTGCAGAAAGGCACTCCTCTAACTGTTTAAGTCATGAAACAATCTACAGTTATTTAGACTGGGGTATTTGGGAGGCATTTTGTGGAAAATGCATAAAATGAGCCTGTCACTTCAAGGAACATTGGCAGCTTTTATGGTCAATGTTAAAATATGAGCTTTCAAGGAAAAATTAAGATTTGTGAAAACCTACCTGCCATTGGGAGATTGTCAGCTTCCCTATATGTAAAGAGTTTTGTGGTAAGACCAGCAGTGAGGTGAGTGGGTGTAAATTTTTTTGATAATTCAGTGAACCCGTATTTTCCAGATGACTAATGCATAATGCTACAAAATCATGAATGCACACAAAACATGCAAAGTGCAAAGACCAATGGAATTTAACGTAAGAGAACAAGAAGTTCATTAATGTAGTTTCCAATTCCACACTGTAATTAACCTTTAAGAAACTACTATTCATCCAGTTTGGGTTTAGTATCAAAGAATGTCCACAATTATCCGAAAAGCCCATTAAATATTCCTCCCTTTCCTAACTACATATCTGTCTAAGGGCACATTTTTTAATATTCTTCACACCAAACAACATATTACAGTGAGCTGAATGTGGAAGCAGCAATGAGGGTCCATCTGTCTCTATTAACATAAACATTAGAGAGATGGGTGAAATGTAAAACAATGCACCCTTCTCCCTAAAGTTTTGTTTTGGAAAATTATTATCGTGGAAAAAAAACAAAATGGATTTACTGTAGCCCTTTTACATGGATTAATAAATAAATATCTTTTGGGTTATGCAGTTTCAATTTCTAATATGGCAAATATGGATAAATATAAACATGTAAAGAAGTCTCTGGGACTACCAACAGTTTCGTGTGTAAAGAGGTCAAAAAATGAAATCTGAAAACCACCAGACTAAATGAATCCTACCAAAATACAAAGAGCTATTTCGGATCATCGAAAGCACTGAGTGTGTTTGCTTTGATCTGAGGTAGGCAGGAGAAACAAAGTCCGCCTAATCCACTCAGAGGGGCCGTCTTTCCCTGCCTCTGAATACAGTCAGGGCGCAGTTCTTCCAATGTCTGTATGTATCTTAACAGAGTTTGATGTTTCTTATATTCTGCTCAGTCCAGGCTCGTGCCATAGAGCATACGGCCCTCAGAGCAGCTGCCCGGCTCACTGACACCTCATTTCAAGGGTCCCCAAACTTCCTACATGTGGTACAGGTCTAAAGCTTACAGACAGCCCTGCTTACTGTATGTTGTTCTGCATGTGGGTTAATAGGATGGGGTCATAAGTTTGTGGCACAAAATGGCAGGTACGTGGTTTCCAAAGATACCATTTTTGATTCCAAATAAACTGAGCAGCCTGGAAGCACATCAGCGGGTTGGACAGGATGGTGACCCAGTGGGCTTGGAGGAACTTCTTTATTAGTGAACATCTGGGAAAATGATACCGGGAAGCAGGAAAGTGAAAGAAAAAAAAATCCCTAATCGAAGAGTCCAGCATTTAATAAAGCTGCCTAAAATTCTCTACAAATGCAAGTACTGTGGGGAAGCAGCAAGAAGGCAGCAGGCTGTAGACAGAAATCTAGTGTGTACCGTTTACACATCACAGGGAAGTCTCATGTTCTTTTGAAAGAACCGAAGTTCCCATGCATCCCTATCATCAATCTGTTCCTAAGGTTAAGGTACATAATGAGTTTCCAGGAGCCTACTAATTAACATGGAATCAATAAAGTGTCTAAAGGAAGAGGAATAGGATCCAATATTACATATGAATCTGACCAAAAAGACACAGTAATTTATATTTTCAGATAAGCCCTGGGGCAAATATAGTATTTCTTTTCAGAAATACAGCAGTATGACTATTAATAAAGAAAACAAGGTTGTGGGGATCCCTGGGTGGCGCAGCGGTTTGGCGCCTGCCTTTGGCCCAGGGCGCGATCCTGGAGACCCGGGATCGAATCCCACGTCGGGCTCCCGGTGCATGGAGCCTGCTTCTCCCTCTGCCTGTGTCTCTGCCCCCCCCCCTCTGTGTGACTATCATAAATAAATAAAAATTAAAAAAAAAAAAGAAAAAGAAAACAAGGTTGTACTTACTATGGCGTCTTTGACAATTTGTTTGGCCACTTGCTCTGGTTTGCAAACAGATACAGTCTCTGAAATCAGCCGAGTCTCCAAAGGCTAAAGGTGGGAAAAAACAGACATATCCATACTATTATGGGCCATTAAAGAGCAAAGAAGTCTAAACAACCCTCTCTCCCTCACTTTATGAAGAATTCCAGCCTTCTACCTTTGAGCAGACTCCTACTTTTAGAATCAGGTCCATCTGGATTCTAAATCAGTTTCTACCTGGTTACTGTACAGAATTCAGCCCCGCGGCTGCAGTGAGACAAGGAGGCCCCTGCCGCTCTCCGCGGGACACTGTGTGGTCTCGGCTCCGGTGACGACCGCCAGAGCTAGAAGGAGAACACATCAGTGGTACAATTCTGGTAAAATCCTCACTGCTGGCCAGACACCTGACCGGCAGCATTTCTGCAGAGCCTAGACCATGCGCCCTGAGCCAGTCTGGCCTTATGACCAGCACCTCCGTTCTGAACATACTCCCTGGCCAGCAAAGGCTTGATATATGGATGGAGCTTAGGCCCTGGGCAGAGACAGCCCCAGCCCAGCCCCTGTTCAACAACACAGCTGTTTCCTAAGAGATCTACAGAGGAGGCGACAAGAAAGATAGGACAGTGAACACTGAATGGAGTCCAGCGTGGCTGCATGCCCCCTGGCAGGCTGGTGTGTTGGAACCCCAAGTCACAGGTGGTTAAAGGTCCATCCCAACAGCCACCTGGTTCAAAAAGCCTTTTCTGAATCCTTAACTGGCAGCGCGTTCTCGTCTTTGCATATTGCTGCATTAATACGTATTACAGCAACGTGTGTCTTTGCATTTTACCTCCTAAGTTCTTTGTGGGCAAGGTCTTTTTTTTTTTTTTTAAATCTTCTTTACAGTGACATAAAGATGTGCTCATCAATTCTTTCAAAGGTGGTTTCAATGAGAAGTTTCAAAACTAAAGCCTTAAGCTGCATGAAACTGTAAATTCTATTTACCACAGAGGCTTGAGAAAATGAAAAGAAAAAAACAGAATGTATTTTCTTAAATTAGAAAAACCCAGCACTTCCTAAAAGTCAAGTATTTCTTGATGAACCTGAATTAAGAAAAGGGCCTCTTTTGAAGGGGCCTTTCTTCTTTCTTCCTCCAGACCACCAGGCTGGCACAACCCCCGCCAGACACAGTAGATTTAAAAGTCCGACGGCGCCCCCTAAAGGGCTTACACACCAACAGAGAATTTGACTTCAAAGAAGTCTGCTCAACACACTACTACTGGAGGGAAAAAAACCAACTTAACATCAAAATCAAATCTTCACAGGGAAATCACCTCTCTGTGTCCGCTTTGGCTTCCAACGAAAAGACTGTTACCAAATGTTGCAAATCTGCTTAGCAGACCCCTGCTTATTCTGAGACAGGGCATTTGGCTTAAATTTACTTCTTTGAAACAGTTGTAATCTTAAAAGGGAGAGCCAAAGAGAAATGAATAGGGAAAAAAACTTCTAAATCATAAACATCTTTTTGCAAATATACAGTCTATGGAGCATAAGTGCCAATTTTCATGCTGCAGAGCCTCACGCTTACTAAGCATCACTGTAAAGGAGAAGAAAACCAATCAACGCCCATTCAAGGTAGGAAGTTCTGATGGATTCCTTTCTTCTCCACTTGATTCCTTTGCTGTTTGCTCGCAGGGTGCCTACTACGCATCAAGGCAAAGAAAAGTCTCCTTTGAACAAAGTTGCAAAGCTTGCATTCAGCTCAGCATGACTGTCATTGTATATAATGTAAATGTCCGGTGGTGATAAGCATCATAAAGAAAAATAAAGCCAGAGGAAAGGATGGTGAATATTTCAAGGGAGTGATATATGAGATAAAGAGGGTCAGGGAAGGCCTCTCAGGGTGACATCTGTACAGAGGGAGAAAAAAGCAAGGGATTGGCCATTTAAATATCCAGAAAGGAAAGCAAGAGCAAAGCAAGGCCAAAGCTGGGTAAGTTCAAGAAGAGACAGGGCTCTGATATGGCTGAGGGCAAGAGGAAGACCAGACAGCACTGTGGACAGGTAGCCAAGGTCTACACAGTACAGGACCCAATAAACCTCACGGCCTTTGGATTCTACTCTAGGCTGATGGGAACAACCAGTGGAGCCACACTCACCCCCATACTACCAACGCGCTTCTCAACGCCAACTTTAAAGGAGTCAAAATTAAATAAAATTCAAAATTCAGTCTTACGATATGGAGTCCCAGTGGTCCCATTTCAAGTGTTCAACAGCCAACAATGTGACTACCATATTGGAGAGTGCAGACAGAGAACATCTCCATTCTAGAGAATTCTGCTAGACTGTGCTGCACAAGAACAGTTTTTTTGGTTTTGTTTCTGGCCTTTTGTGCACAAGATGAGTTTGAACAGGGGAGTGACAAGATCTGACTTATGCTTTAAAAGGATTACTGTCCACTGTGTGAAGAAGAGACGGGGAGGCAGACCAGTTTGAAGACTATGAAGTGCAGTTCAGGCAAAAATAGCAGCGGCAACTATCATTACTAGCATGGCACTGATATTTGCAGTTAAAAAGAAAAAAGGAAAAAAAGAGATCTGATTCAGGTAAGTTCTGAGAGTAGAGCCAAGAGGATATGCTGGTCAAGCAGATGAGAAGTAGAATAATCAAGGCTGGCTTCTCAGTTACTGGCCTGAGCGCTATGGCTGATGGGTGCTGTTGGGTGTTGGGCAATAAGATGAGAAGTAATGAACGGAAGGAATGAGGGAATCATATGATCCATTTTTGAAATGCTAAGTCGTGGTGCCCACTATACCCCCACAGGGAGACAATGGATTGGCAACCAGGTGTTTTAAGTTGAGAGGAAAGAATGTTCTTGGTCAAGAATATCATCTCGTTAGTTACTTGAAAATATAGACTGTGCTCCCCATCATAAAGAAAATACCTTATTAAAAAAAATACCTTATTAAAATTTTTTTTAAAAATACCTTATTAGGAAAACTTTCAAAGATTATTAGCAAAAATCCTAATCTCGTAAAATATAGGCCGCATTCTCTAAGACTCCACATGAAAGTTCCCCCAGAAGGTCCAGAGGCCTCTCTACCTAGCATGTCAATTGAAAAGGACTCAATTTTCTGACTGGTGAAAAGGACTCCAGGCTGATGGGCAGAAAGTCAGAAAATTGGAAAAGAGGTTTGTTTATAATGTCAAAGGCTAAAAACAGACACAGAAGAACACTTACCTTGGTTTTGTTTTCTTCTGCAAACCCAGGGGTATCTGTGTCCGGCGGGTAGGCGACTGTGACATAGACATTGTACGGCTTCACCTGCATTTTAGAAACAACACGCGCCCCTTCAGCAATCAAGGTACAGCTCTGCTTCTTCCCTTACTCCCTGGCACTGGCCGTCGGGCAACAGAAAGAACACTGCCCGGATTTTCTCAGAAGCTGGTAAGTCCAACAGGGTGATTCTTAAATGGAGAACTGGCATTGGCGGGGTCAGGAAACTCCTCCCCAGGAAGATCATTCAGGAAGAAAGGCAAAAAGCTCACCCCACCAACGTCTACTTCAGAAGACAGTGGACCCACCTCCTTCTGTGTTGCCCACCCTGCTGACGGGGTGAGGCCCTGGGAGCTGTCCAGGAGGAAGGTGGACAGCTAACAGGAAGTCCACATGGCCCCCCCTCGCGAACCCTGACACTACTCAGGCCTTGGGCCGATGGGGCAGGTCCACTCCTCCGCCATCAGACTACAAATCTGGCTTCCTTCACAGCTGCCTCGGAAACTCTGGTTGATTTCATTTACAAGATCTGTGAAGATCATTCAAACCCTTTCCCTAGGCCCTTCCTGTGCCACCCCAGATCTAGGCCTGGAACTATGTGGATCCCTCCAGAAGTCAGGAGGGAGTCAGGAGTCCCTTCTTCCATCCTCTCCAGAACCAGCCAACAGGACTCTCCCCGCTGGGTGGAGTCTCAGGTCAGACCAGCCACGCACCTCCCCGAAGACCACCTCATCCCTACTTATATGAGGAAACTCCTTCCCAGCTTGAGATGAGCTCTTAGTCTTCTTCACCTCACCACTGGGCCTCCATGCTGAAATTCTCCACTCATAAACACACGCCAATGGGATGATTCCAGAAGATTCTCTTGCTAGTCCACCAGGACATACCACCCTTCCCAAAGATCCTGCTCCTCAGCGGCTCTGCTCCACTCTCATCTGGCCCTGATGCTAGTGGCTCTAAGGGGGATAAGTTCATACCATCAAAATTTCTGTCTTCCTATTTGCTATTGTTTAGCCCCAGGACAACACCTAGGAGAGTTAGAAGTGGACAGGCAGCTGGTGGTAGGCAGGCCACCACGTATCTCAAGGAGGCTGAAAAGTGACAAGAGCATCCCAGGGTCCCATCTCATCACACAGCTCTTTCTCTCTCTGAGGCCCTCCGAGAGGCATAGTTCTAAGCTTGTGGGAGGAGCTGAGAGGGTCTGGGAGAAGCATGTAGGCAGAAGCTTCTGGCCAGCCATCCTGGAAAGTACACTAGCAAAGGGTGATGTGTTCGTTGGTTCAGTTCCAATGCACTTAGGGCGTGAGAGAGCTCATTCACTCAGCATTGATGGGGCATGCGGCGTCAAGGCCCAGCTCTGCTCATAAATAGCTCTGGATTCGGGCCAGGCAGTGAGGTTGATGAGCAAGCAATTCCTCTTCCACTTGTTTTTGAGATAGTGACTTTAAAAACTGTCTCCCACGGCCTTGCCCTCTGCGGTACACAGACCAGACAAGAACACCAGCGAAAAAGCTGAGAAGTGGCCCAGTGGGAAAACCTGAAGCCGACTCTGCTCAGACACGGTTGTTTCTCTGCTGCTTCTTTGGCCCCCTCCTCCTCCAAAGCATAAGGGCTGTGGCACCTGAACTAATGTGAGACAGTATGTCAAAGCAGTGTTTCTCAGACCCGAGTTATGGCTGAACCAGCTTTTCAGAACAGCTTTCTCCTGGGGTGGGCACAGACGGCCCGACCCCTTTCCGGGTGTTGGTATCCTCTCTACAATCACGAGGCCAAATGACTCTCTCCAGCTATGGTTGGCTACCTCCAGTGGCTAATCACTTAATCACCTGTCTTTATTCATCCAACACATACTTCTTGACTGGCTACTGTGTGCTGGTATCGGTCTATGAAGGAAGATATGGATGGAGGCAACTCAGAGAGCCTCAGAGAGCCTCTGCCCTCATGGATCTTCAGTCTCCTGAAACTCTTGGTCAAATAATTGGTGAACTTGAGATACACCAAACGATATCTACAGTTTCCTTTGATCAACTAATCCCATAACCCCAGGGGCAAAGGAAAGGCGGCTGGGTAGGCTTCACGTGCTAAGACAGCACTGGAGAGCACAACTTTCTCAAAGACTTTGTGGGCCAGGACTTCACTGGCTGACTCCTCTGCTTACCTTACCCCAGTGTTTGTCTTTGTCCCTGCTGACTGACCATCCCCTCATCAGTTTCTTCCTCCTACCTCATCTCCATTTCAATCAGAAATACAACCCACTGCTCGAGAGAGAATCGATTATCAAAATAATCCCACCAAAAATGTGTAGTTCCTAATGCTATCAAAGCGAAGGCTGGGTGCCCATCTTTTCTCTGCTGGAGAAACGACCAGAGCTGTGTTGGAAGAAGCTCTAGAACATGAGCTGCAGCTTACTTTTCAACACCGTGGGGACAAACGTCCCTTGAGGGAGGGGAGCATGGGCCGGTGAAGGAAGCACAAAGGCTATTTCTCTTTTACTCGGTCTCTGCTACAACCTCATTGTGTATAACCCATGTCAGAAGTCTGCTTTCCAAAAAGATTAACTTTTAGAATCTTTAAATCATGCATTTATGCCTAAAAGAGCTTTAAAAAAAGATAAAAAATGCAACAAACCATTCTTTCAAACTTATTCATTGTACACAAAACATTTCTAGGGACGTACTTTAGTTTGCAAGGCAAAGGATGGGATGGACAAGAAGACTTAAGAGTTAATTAAACCAAGAAGGATTATCCAAAAGTACTTAGTCTGAGCAATTCTATAAGGTCTGTTTCATTCACAGATAACACATCAGTCACCTTGGCAAAGCCAACCAAATCATCCAGGTTTTCAGGCACAACACCATACACTTGCAGAGAAAAAATTGGGGTTTTTTTTTGTTTATTTTTATTTGAGAGAGAAAGAAAAAACACACATGTACACACTCACAGGGGGAAGGGGCAGAGGGAGAAGCAGACTCCCCACTGAGCTGGGAGCCCAATATCAGGCTCGATCCCAGGACCCTGAGATCACGACCCAAGCTGAAGGCAGATGCCTAACCGACTGAGCCACTCAGGTGCCCCAAAACAACTGTTCTGATGCAAGTCTGTTATGAACAAAAGTAGATTTTGATTACTGAATGTATTTCCCTCATGGCACATGTTTATTTTATTTTGCATTTATGCGGGGACATTTTTCATGAAGTCTAGATATGGACAAAAGTCAAGTGCACTTCAGGTCCAGGCCAGCTATGTGCAGTGCAGCGTGTGAACCACGCTTGTCACAAAGACGCTTCGGGGACTCTGTCGTAGCAACTCATGTCCTTTTCCCTCTTCTTTAGTAACATCTCTGTTCTACCTGAAGTGATGAAACCAGGCCACCCAGATTATATACTTTGCCCTAAATTAGTGAGTCCTGAAGTAGCTTTGCAAGAAAAGACTTAGGAACAAAGAGACCTAATAAGCAGATTTTTTCATTTCCAACGCAGCCCCTCACTTACCAGGTGTCTGAGACCAAAGTGAAGGCCGAGACAACAGGCCAGATGAATCTGGCAACTTCTGACCTGAATTATCCACACATCAGCTGCTGCAGAAGCCAGGCAGAGGGAGCCAGAAGGCAAGCACTTTGTTACTATTTTTGTTGCAAAATAATGATGTCTTTTTGAGTAACTGGATGAACTATTGAAAACTCAGTGTTCTTATCTATAATAAGGTGGCCTAACAACTTCTGCCACTCCTATCTCACAAAACTTACAAAAATCAAATGGTTATTTGCAAAGGGACTTTCAAAGTGAACATTTCAAAAGAAGAGAAATACTGGTATTCTTGTTTTGAAATTTCACAGCCGTATGAGCCTCATTGGCTAAATATTATTATAACCTATTACTGACTAAGAGCTTTAAACAAGCTGATAAAAAGGAAATTTGGGCCGGTTCCTTTTTTGAGGAGAATGGCACAGTCGATCAGTCCCCATGTGGCACATCATGATCATGTCACTGACTGGACAACTCATTGGTACCATGTTTGTCCAACAGCGGGGCAGTGTGGCCCTCTGTCACACACCATCGAGGGCTCCTCTGGGGATTTTTTAAAACAGGGGTCAGCAAACTATGGCCTGTGGGATAAATCTCCACCTATTTTTATAAATAAAGTTTTATTGGAACACAGCCATGTCCATTTATCTATCTGTCACATAGGGCTGCTTTCCTGCTCTCACCATTAGGTTTCAGGAGTTGCGACAAACAACATCCACCCCTCAAAAGCTCAAACACTTACAAGCTGGCCCTCACAGAAAAAATTTGCTAACCCTTCCCTAATCTAAATCATTAAACGGGACACCCAAATCACACTCTTATTATGAGAAGGCTGGTCACAACCAATTCTTTTCTGGGCTTCCAATGTCATGATGTAGCATTATATTTCAGTCTCTATCACAATAGAAAGAATTTTACCTTCCTTTTCAGTGTGTGATTTTGGGTAGGTATACGTGGTACTCTCTATGCATCCCCATCTGACGACAATGCAAAGTCAGCTTCCCACGATTGAGTGTCACATCATGACACTTATTTTTTTTTTAAACTTTTTATTTATTTATGACAGTCACAGAGAGAGAGAGAGGCAGAGACACATGCAGAGGGAGAAGCAGGCTCCATGCACCAGGAGCCTGACGTGGGATTCGATCCCGGGTCTCCAGGATCGCGCCCTGGGCCAAAGACCGGCGCTAAACCACTGCGCCACCCAGGGATCCCCGTGACACTTATTTTGATGCTAATCCTCTTTCACAACATGCTCTACTAACTGGGAAAATAAAAAGCGTTCGCTTTCATCAATACATCTTTAAGATATTAAAGCATAAGCATCGGGAGAGCCAAATGATATTTTCAGCGCAACCCTCTTGTTTTACAGCAAAGGAAAAAGACCAAGTTAAATGATTTGTCTAAAAGCTGAGAGCTAGGCAGTAGCTGATTTAAGCCCTTCCCTCAAACACATGCTAAGTTTATTCTTCAGTCATAAAGGACACATCTCTTTGTTAAAGAAACACCTCTAGAGAATAAAATATCTGGTTAACCTTATGCATCCTCACACAGTATTAGACCAAAAATACTATGTAAATATCAGTAGTACTTTGTGTATTAAATTAAGCAAGCAAGGGGCACCTGGGTGGCTCAGTGGTTAAGCATCTGCCTTTGGCTCAGGTTGTGATCCCAGGGTGCTGGGATTGAGTCCCGCATTGGGATCCCCGCAGGGAGCCTGCTTCCCCCTCTGCCTCTCTCTCTCTGCCTCTCTTTGCGTCTCTCATGAATAAATAAATAAAATCCTTTTAAAAATTAGTTAATTAATTAACTAAGCAAACAAAACACCTCACACTCATCTTGCTTCTAGCATAATCTGTATGACGCCTGAAAAATGTTAACAGCAAAATTCAAGGGTTGAGCAGATTCTTTTTCACTGATGTCAAGTCTACAAGTGTCTAATTTAATACAACAACATGTGTAAAGTAGCTACAAACTAAAAGGGAACAAACATTTCTGAGCTGGAAGATATAAATATAAAACTGAATTCAGTGTTTACCTCCATCTGCAAAGCTTCAGCCAATCCCCTGATGGCAAATTTGGATGAAGAATAGGCCGTAAAACCGAATAATCCCAACTGTCCTGCCTGGGAGGAGATAAAGACGATCCTGCCCACCCGACGCTCCTTCATGGTGGTGATCACAGCTCGGCTGGGGTACACACTGCCGAGGTAGTTGACGCTCATTAGTCTCTGTAGGGAACAAAGAGCCACGTGAGAAGTGAGCAAGGTCAAGGCCTCAAGCCTGCAGTCCACAGTTCTGTACACTCTCAAGATCTGAGTTCAGTGAAGACCAAGTGACGGGGAGCCCAATGGATGCGCCGAAGGAATGAGTGATATAATGATCCCATGAATGGGCCATGATGCTCATGACCTGCCGTCTGTAGCCTGTTTCTTTCTTTTTTTTTTTTTTAAAGATTTTATTTATTTATTCATGAGAAACACAGAGAGAGAGAAAGATGGAGACATTGGCAGAGGGAGAAGCAGGCTCCATGCCAGGAGCCCGATGTGGGACTTGATCCTGGGACTCTAGGATCACACCCTAGGCCGAAGGCAGGCGCTCAACCACTGAGCCACCCAGGAATCCCTGAAGCCTGTTTCAATCTAGTCTTGCATTCTCACCATGACAGCAGTGATGTCTTTGCTGAAAACTGGTCAGGATTAGTTTTCTACTTACCAAAAGTACAATGCATCTTGCAGGTAACACTTTTTGAAAGACAGTTTTAGGGAAAAGCCTCCAAATATTTCTAAACCTATTAGTTCTAAGCTACACAAAGAGACCAAGACTGTGGTTAGGAGCAATGGACTGTGGTTTGAAGTCCTGGCTTGACAATTTACTACCTATTCGATGATGAAGAAGAAAGTCAGCTACTGTGCTTATTTCTGCAGCTGAACACTGGGCTAATGCTGGTACTAGCTCATAGGGCTGTTGCAAGAATTGAAAGAGGAAAACACACGTCAAGTGGCAGCACAGTCTCTGATCCACAGTAAGTGACCAATACTGGCTCCTGGATTATGATGGGTAAGAGCTTACATAGGTTCCAAGAGTCTATTTTCCCTTCATCCTGGGAACTCTTAAAAACCTTATGTTTTAACTTGGAAATCTACAAGTACATGCATCAAAATGTCTCTATATTAAAAGTCTTGCTTTGAAGAAAAAAAAAAAGTCTTGTAAAAATACTAGATCTATCAGCGTGTGAAACCAAACACTTCATTGAGGAACTCTGAGTCAACCATGAATGTTGACTCTACAGAAAGTCATATAGCTTTTAGAAATGGTGACCAGAAACACCAGAGGATACGGGAAATACTTATTCTGCAAGTTTAAAAAAGCAGAGGGCATATGATACTATATTTACACTGTAAATACAGACTGTAACTAATTCAAATATTAAATAAAAGTACATGTACACAGGTGCAAAATGAATTAAGGAACCATAGATAACTATAAATGATTGAGGGTGCCTGGGTGGTTCAGTTGTTGAGTGTCTGACTCTTAATTTCAGCTCAGGGTCTAATCTCACAGATCATGAGACCAAGCCCCGCATCGAGGTCTGTGCTCAGTAGGAGTCTACTTGGATATTCTCTCTGCCCCTTCCCCCACTCATTCTCTCTCTCTCTCTCATTCTAATAAATAAATAAAATATTTTTTAAAAATGTAGCCCTATATCTACTAAAGACATTAAATTAAAGTTAGTCCCACAAAGATAACCTCAGGCTTCACTGGAAAATTCGAGCAAACATTTAAGGATAATATCAATTCTACACAAATCCTTCCAGAAAAGTGAAGAGGAGAGAATATTCCCCTACTTATGGTAAGAGGCCAACATTACCTTTATACAAAAATCAGAAAAGACCATTACAAGGAAAGAAAACAACTGATATCCCTCAAGAACACAGAAAGGATGAATAGCCAAGTGGGGTCTATCCCAGGAATGCAAGGCTGGCTTAACACTGGAAATTAATCAATGTAATTCACCATATCAACAAACTAAAAAAGAACTCTGAAATCATCCCAGGAGATGCAGAAAAAGCACCTGACAAAATTCAACTTCCATTCTTTATAAAAACTCTCAGCAGGGGCCCTTGGGTGGCTTAGTGGGTTAGGCGTCCAACTCTTCTTGATTTTGGCTCAGGTCGTGATCTCAGGGTCTTGAGATCGAGCCCTGAGGTGGACTCTGCACTCAACATGGAGCCTGCTTTAGATTCTCTCTTTCCATTTCTCTGCCCCTCCCTGTCCCCACTCGTGGGTGCTCTTTAAAGAAAAAAGAAAGAAAAAAAAAACTCTCAGCAAACTAGGAATACCAGAGAACTTTCTCAACTTGATAAACGGCATCTACGCAAACACAACAGAAAGAACAGAACTACAACAAACATCATACTTAATGGTTAAAAAAAAAAAAAAAGTTTTCTCCCAAGATCAGGAACACTGACAGCATGTCTGCTCTCACCACTTCCCTTCTGTACTGGATGTTCTAACCAGTACAATAAAGGTGCCCAGATGGGTACAGAAAAGTAAAACTGTTGCAAATAACATGATCTTGAATGCAGAAAATCCAGTGAGCACTAGAATTAATAATGGACTTCAGCCAGACTGCAAGATCAATACACAGAAATCAATTGAATTTCTCTACATTAGCAATGAACATTCAGAAAATGCCATAAAAACTACCATTTATACTAGCATCAGAAAATAGGAAATATTGAAAAATGAGGTGCAAGACCCATGCACTGAAAACTACAAGACACCGCTGAGAGAAACGGAAGAAAATTTAAATAAATGGAGATATATTCTACATTCACAGGTTAGAAGACTCAATGTTGTTAAGACGTCAGCTCTCCTCATGTGGATCTATAGAGTCAATCAAACATGAAAATAATTATCACTGATACAGGTAGATAAACAGGACATAGGTCCAAGAATCCATAAAGCAAACCTATTAAGTGGAAAATTAAGAGAAGTGCATTGACCTTCCCAAAGACCGCCTCCCGTTTCAGATTCACTGGACGGCCTCCCAGACTCTGCACCTCGTCGTACCCATGACTAAGATTTATGGCAGTGAGAGGGCACAAGGCAAATTATCAAGGACAAAAGGCACCTGGGTCAAAGGCCAGAGGAACCTGGCACGCATTTCCAAGCATCCTCTCGTCCTCTTGGCAGGGAGTCGCACAGCACCTGCTGGGATCCCCCAGCCGTGGGCTGTAACAACAGAGCCGACCACGTGAGGCACGCACACACTTTCAGGGGAGCCCTGGGAGCCTCAGTAAAGTGCACACGAGACAAACAAACCAGCCATCAAAACAAAACAAATTAAAAAATCTTCAGAAAATGCACCAAACCTGGAGTGGGTGTTCTCGCAGGACCTGCGGACAACGAGCACAGTGGCCTTGACCACAGCCCCGCAGTGGGCAGGGACGGACGGAAGCAGAGGGGTGAACGCTGGCCTGGGGCTGGGGGTACAGCGGCCTACTGCCTGCGTTCAGGGCAGGGCGGCCAGAGGCCTCGTCCCTGGGACCCAGGCAACAGGCGTGGGTTAACTATCCTTTCTTTTTAGAAGCCTGCTTCTCCCTGGGGCTGGAGCACTTCCAGCATCACCCAACAGCCGTTCAAGCCCTCCCTGCGCCCACCTCCCCGCCGCCCCCTCACACAGCCCAGGGGTTTACCCACCAGGGCATCTGCACCGGCATCACTCACATCACCCGCATCCTCCACATCATGATCTCCTGCCCTGATGACCTCTGACCCCTCCTGAACCGCTCCTGACACAACCAGCAGAAAGATCCTCTGATCTGCTACTGCCCAGCCCAGCTTAAGCCCCTTCAAAGGTTCTGGACTAGAATCCCAACTCCCCATGGTGGCCTTTGAGACCCCAGTGGTTCTGGCCCCTGCGCCACTCCACATTGCTCCGGAAGCTGACCCCCGACGTCCTAGCCCTCCTAAGACCCCTGGCTCCTGCCCCAAACAGGACTCCTGGTCAGGTCCTTGAGTCTGCCCTCCACACTGAGTCAGGGTGACTCTACAGATTGCCCCTCCATTAGCCTCCCTCTCTCTCTCTCTCTCTCACACACACACACACACACACTCTCACACAGTCATCCACACTCACTCTCACATCCTCACACTCACTCCTCACACACTCATTCACACACTCACACCCTTCCACACACACACTCACACACATCTGACTCCTCTTTGCCTGGCCACCTCATCATCTGACGTCTTACCTCATCGTGTTCTGCCTAGACTGATACAACAACTATCTTCCCCAACTCATTCTTTACCCAGCTGTTGAAATCATCTTCAAAACCTCCCTCTGATTACTTACAGTAAAGGCCTGCAGGTCAAGGCAACTACCTTTCATGCTGATTTGATAAAGGAGCCTTAAGACACTTGAGTCCCAGATAAGGTGCCCCTCTACCTACAGCTATATCTGGACTCTCCCTCCTGGACAATAAATCACAGAAGTTATGGTGCTTTCCCAGAGTCCACCAGAAGCAAGGTGTCTATGCTGCTACTCTAGCGCTCTCATTTTCCATAAAAAGGGGATGTCATTTACCTTCTCGGAGGAAAACATTCAAAAGCCACTACTACAATGAAGGTTCATGGAGCATTAGGGAAAAGACAGTTGATACCATGCCAACTAAAAAACTGTTTTGTACTTTGGAAGGATTATGAATCTGGGGATCTCTGGGTGGCACAGTGGTTTAGCGCCTGCCTTTGGCCCAGGGCGCGATCCTGGAGACCCGGGATCAAATCCCATGTCAGGCTCCCGGTGCATGGAGCCTGCTTCTCCCTCTGCCTATGTCTCTGCCTCTCTCTCTCTCTCTCTCTCTCTCTCTGTGTGTGACTATCATAAATAAATAAAAATTAAAAAAAAAAAAAGGATTATGAATCTGATGTTCATTTATTTAGAGGTCATAGAAATTACTAAGAGACATTCCATGACAAACTTGACAAACTTGTTTAAAAATATAAACCAAGATGTGTCATTTTTTTTTTTTGTTGTTGTTGTTGTTGTTTTTTAGAGATTTTATTTATTTATTCATGAGAGGCAGAGACACAGAAGCAGGGACACAGAAGCAGAGGAAGAAGCAGGCTCCATGCAGGGAGCCTGACGTGGGACTCGATTCCCGTCTCCAGGATCACGCCCTGGGCTGAAGGCAGCACTAAACCACTGAGGCACCCGGGCTGCCTGATGTGTCATCTTTTTGCCTTGATTTCAGAACTCAAGAGTCTGCTCTTGAACTTCTCTGGTTTACCACTGTTAAAAACCCTGACAGCTGACATGAAAATCCAGCACCTCTTGGCTTACAGAGAGCTCTCTTCAAGAGAGTGTACCTTGGTGAATCGTCATGGCAGTGCAGGTCAGTTTGGAGGTTTTATGCTCATTTTATAGCTGGGAAAACCAAGGCCCAGAGACTCGTCCAAGCTCTTAAGGTTAGATGGCCATGGTACTGCAACTAAAACCTTTTCCGACTTTTTTTTTTTTTTAAATTTTTTATTTATTCAGGATAGACACAGAGAAAGAGAGAGAGAGGCAGAGACACAGGCAGAGGGAGAAACAGGCTCCATGCTGGGAGCCCGACACGGGACTCGATCCCAGGACTCCAGGATCGTGCCCTGGGCCAAAGGCAGGCGCTAAACTGCTGAGCCACCCAAGGATTCCCTTTGTCCGACTTTCCCCTAGCCTTCTAAAGCTTCTAGTAAATCTAAATGCATTCTAACTATTTCATTTGTAAAGCCTTCACCTGTGGCCTTGCTCTACTTGGAGTATCTGGGCTAGCCCATGAGCAAAAAGCAAATGTCCACTTACTTCAAAAGTACTAACTTCAAGATCTTCAAATTTTCCCGAAAGTGACATTCCCGCACAGTTCACAAGCATGTCCACTGGGCCCAGTTTCTCCTGTGCCTGGAAAAGTTTATCAGAGTAGCCATGAAGAAAAAGAGAAGCATTACTTGGTAGCAACTCAGTGCCAATAAATAAAGTCTAACAAACTATTAAAGCTACAGAGATGATTTATCAGTTCCAAGCCCTACACCAAAATGCTAAGAACCAATTGAAAGGCAAGCAAATTAATTCCAGGTAGCCCAACCTCTTACTTGTTTTATGACATTCTCTACTTGGCTGTAGTCTTGAGATACGTCAACTGATATACAAAGTACCACCTGTGAGGAAGAGAAAAAGATGATCAAAGTCATGCAGGCATCTAAAAGCATTTTTTTAAAGAGTTTTTTTTTTAAATCAAGGCAATTCTTTCCAATAGCTAGGGAGTCTAGTCTTGTGGGCATAGATTGCAGTGTTGGAAATCTGCTGACAGTGCACTACTGGAGCCTAATTTTCTTGGCAGTTCTCACAGAAAACTCTTATGCAAACTGAAAAACACATCTTAAGAAATATTGGTCAAAGTACAAACTTTCAGGTATAAGAGAAATAAGTCCTGGAGATCTCCTGTACGACACAGTGACTACCGATATGAATACTACATTGTGTACTTGAAATTTGCTGAGAGTAGATCTTGAGTGTTCTCAATACACACACAGAATAACTATGTGAAGTGATGGGGTGTGTTAATCAACTTGAGGTGGTGAGCATGTCATGATGCAAATGTGTATCAAATCATCACACTGTGCCCATCCGTACAGATGGATCCGTACAGATCCATACAATTTTTGTCAGTTATACCTAGATAAGGCTGGAAACAGATAAGAAATGTAAAGAGCTCCTCTTGGAACACCGCTAACCTACAGTGACCGAAGGCAGGTCTGAGATCACTTGTGGTCAGATGAGGGAGGCCTGGCTCGTGGGGAAACAAGTGGAACTCTGGGGGGATGGACATGCTCTGTGTCTGGATCTCAGGGCTGGCTGTACACGTGTATGCATCTGTCAAAAGCCATCAAACTGTACTCTTTACATGGGTGCGGTTTACTGGACATAAATTATAGCTCTGGTTATTAAAAAGAATACATAAATTACATAAAAAAATCAATAAATTGTACATCAATTGTATCTCAATTGTTAACATCTTAGGTTGTTAAAAATAAAAACAATAAGTCTAATAAATACGCTTAAAAAATACTCCCCTTGGAGCACTCCCAGGGCTCAGACTGCCCTACTGGGAGTCCGAATCAGCAGGCAGGGGATGAAGAGATAAGCAAACAATACCTACTCACAAAAGCCACCTGAGTTTGAGTCCCTGCACTGGTGACTTTATCTTTCAAGGCCAAGGGTCGATCTGGGGCTGTGGGAGCTTGAGGTCCCTGACTCTGGGCTGATGGGTCACTCAGGGATTCTCTAGACAAGGGGCCACCCAGGCAGGCCCTCAAGCCCACCCAGTCCAAGCCTGGCCAAGCTCACGGGTTCACAGCACAGAGAGATGGCAGGAAGAGCCCAGCCCATGCTTGCCAAGGGCAACAATTCCATTTGGTCTTTGGAAAGGAAGAAAGGAAGAAGGAAGGAGAGGAAGCATATATTTCAGCGCTTGCTTTGATAGAAATTTATAAAATAGCCGTTAAGGATACGAAAGGGTGCTAACAATGAGCTATTGTTTTAATTTCCCTTTTTGGACCATGTTTTCAAATCCAGAGCTCAGCCTCTGAGATCGGAATGTTCTAGGTTCCAAGGAAGGGGTCGCAGAGAGAGGGAGAAAGGCATTTTCTGGACTTCTCAGTCTTTCCAGGAGTTCTCCTCGGTGGAGACTGGCCGCCAAACCAGGGGGCAGACAGAATGAGTGTGTACAGGAGGGCACGTCCACATGGGCACTCGCGCCCGCATGTGGCCTCGAGTGTAAGTGGTGGAAGGAGAGGGTCTGGTGTCCGCAAGCCTGGGTCCTGATCCTGCCCCTTCGGTCACTAGCCGGGCGGAAGCTGAGGAGGCAGCGGTGGCCTCACCAGACCCAGAAAGGGTGTCAGGAGCTGGTGACCAGAGATCCCTTCCAACTCTGAGAAGATGCGACGTGCAGAATAAAGCCACGACGTGAGAGGTGACTGCCTTAGAATCGGATGCGCCAGGCAGGAAGTTTTATTTGGTGCAGGAAGGAACCCTGTCCAAAGGATCTAAATTCCTAAGGAAACAGCCTCCTTCACAAACATCACCTGGAATATTCCAGAGCTGCCCCTGGGTTTCATGCCTCTAATCAGGATTTTTTACATGAGTCTTTTCTTTTCTTTTTTTTTTTTTTTAATTTTTTTTTTTTAATTTATTTACGATAGTCATACAGAGAGAGGGGGGGGGGCAGAGACACAGGCAGAGGGAGAAGCAGGCTCCATGCACCGGGAGCCTGACGTGGGATTCGATCCCGGGTCTCCAGGATCGCGCCCTGGGCCAAAGGCAGGCGCCAAACCGCTGCGCCACCCAGGGATCCCTACATGAGTCTTTTCATACAGTATTAGATCATTTGCTATAAATAAAAGCTATCCCAAGGACAAGTAAAATTAAAAAGAGAGAGAGAGAGAGAGAGAGAGAGAGAGAGAGAGAGAAAGAAAGAAAGAAAGAAAGAAAGAAAGAAAGAAAGAAAGAAAGAAAAGAGAAGAGAAGAGAAAAGAAAAGAAAAAAGAAAAGAAAAAGAAAAGAAAGAAAAGAAAAGAAAAGAAAAGAAAAGAAAAGAAAAGAAAAGAAAAGAAAAGAAAAGAAAAGAAAAGAAAAGAAAGGCTAACAAGTCACCAGGAGAAAAGTGTCCACAGGGCCCTGCTTACGCTGAGCCATGTGGCAAAGCCCTTCTGTGCAGGCAAAGGCTCAAGCTCCGTCAGGCCCACCCCAGCCCTGCCGTCTGTCCTCTCCCTGACGTGCACGTCTGGAACCTGCCACATGACCCTAAGCGTCTGGAACCTGCCACATGACCCAAAGCCTTCCAACAGCTCAAGTGGGGACGGGAGTCACGGTGAAGAAGTCCGGGCAGAGAGAGGGTGCTGACGGCAGGCCTGGCCTTTGGCCAGCAGCATTCACGCTCCATGGCTTCAGAGGATATGTCTTTCTCTATCAGAACTTCCAGGAATCGGGGAAAGGTGAGGGATCTGCTGAGCTGGCAGCTTCCCAACGGTCCCGGGCTGCAGGGAAGGGGAGCACAGAGGCCACGGAGGACAGAAAATCTCACAAGCGAGGCTCTCTGCCTGCAGCACAGATACACGAGCAGAGAAGTGCAAGCAGCCCTCACAGAGGGAAACGACCACATACACTGGGCACCTGGACTCTGCTGAAGGAGTTACAGGAGAAAGGCCGATTTGTTCTTACTGACATGGGAAGACCTCTAACATATTTTGGAGGTGAAGCAAAGAGGCAATTAGAACTACAGTGAGGGGCGCCTGGGTGGCCCAGTCGGTTAAGCGTCTGACTCTTGCTTTTGGCTCAGGTCTTGATCTGAGGGGGTGGGATTGAGCCCCACATTGGGCTCCACACTCGGCATGGAGTCTGCTTGAGATTCTTTCCCTCTCCCTCCCCCACTGCTCCTCCCCCTGCTTGCTCATGTGCTCTCTCAAATAAATAAGTAAAATACATTTTAAAAAATAATAATAAAACTACAGTGAAACAGCATTTAAAACCCATCTGAGGGGCACCTGGGTGGCTCAGTGATTGAGCATCTGCCTTTGGCTCAGAGCGTGATCCTGGAGTCCTGGGATCGAGTCCTGCATCGGGCTCCCTGCAAGGAGCCTGCTTCTCCCTCTGCCTGTGTCTCTCTCTCTCTCTCTGTCTCTCATGAATAAATACATAAAATCTTAAAAAAAAAATCCAAAAGGCAAAAATTAGGAAATGTGCCAATACCAAAGTGTTGGCAGGATGCAGGGCAACCAGGGCAGTGGGTACTACCAGTGGGCATGTCCCCACGCCAGTGAAGTTGAAGATGCACATGCATTGTAACTGTTACTCCACAATCCTATTTCCAGGCACCATCCATTCTTGCACACATACACAGAGATGTGTTGTAGAAAAACTTCAGTGACAGCAAGAAATAAAACAAACTAACCAAAACACCAAAAGTGAGATATCCACCAACAGTAGAATTGATGAACAAAAGGTAGTATATATGTATTCAGAAAATGTTTGACAGCAGTTAACACACACACAGACACACACAAACTATGATTTTATGCAGCAACAGCAAGGAATTTCAAAAGCAGTATCTAGCGAAGAGATCAAGTTGCACAAAAGTACCAGAAAAACGACGTGCTACACATCTACAGAGGTAGAAAGCAGGTTAGTGATCGCCTGGGGCTGTGGGGGGTGAAGGGGGAAGCAGGGAGTGACAAGATCTGGGCTCTCCTGATGGGATGATGGAAAAATTCTCAAATGGATTCTGGTGCTGGGTGCACAACTCCATGGATACGCTAGACGCCACTGAGCTGTACACTTGACACGGGTGAATTGAATAGTATGTGAGGTATGCCTCAGGAATGCAGACAAAAAAAAAACAAATAAATAAGAATGATGCCATAAAGCTCAAAGAGAAGCAGAAAGAAACAGTATACTACGGAGAGTCACACATACCACCTCATCAAATTATGAAAAAAGCATAGCAACACAAAAGTCAGGTTGGGGGTTGCCTCTAGGAATGAGACCGAGCGATATGGGCACCCAGAGGGGGCTTCAGGGGCCCCAGAAAAATCTCATTTCTTAAGCTGGGTGAGGAGTATCATAGTAACTTATTGTTATGTTTTATACTGAAAGATATGTGTGTGTGTGTATATATATATACACACACACACACACACACACACACACACGCCATTTTATTCATCCCAAAATGCCATAACCCCCCCAAAAAAATTTAGTACCCCTTTCCACTTATGTGTTTGTATGAAGTTACCTTAAATAAATAATTGAGATCATTTTCTGTAAAAACATGTGATCACTGGTGCACGGAAGTCAAAGTCTGTACATTTTGGGGAATGGCCTGAACTTGTAGACAATTCAAATGATTTCACCTTTTTCAAAAAACAGTCTAATATGTATTTTAATTAGGAAAAACCCTACACGCTTTCAATGAACTATTCACAGTTGAAATAACCGTTTTTCCCCCTTTCCACAACTATGTTGATTAGCACAGAAAAATGCATCATGAAGACTGATCATACCTGTTTATCATTAATAGAGTGCTTTTCAATTTCTTTCTTTGCCTGCAGCAGCTTGTCCTGAAAGCAACAGAGAACAATTAGTTCTGGTAATTGTCTATTTGTCTGCTTGTTTGTTTAAATGGAGCGAAAAAGCAATTATTCGTGTATTTATTAAATTCTAGAAAACACGCGAGACAGCACCTATGTTGCATAGCTATGGGCCACTGTCTACAAAAGAAAGAAGTTCTAAAGTTATGTTTGGCTATGATTAAGTTTTTCTGAAAGGTAACAGAAAAACAAAGAAACTGCACAATCCTAATCAACACTACTAATTGCTGATGGGCACCATATCAACTCTAATAAATGTTTTGATCTGACATTATTTGGTTGTGATGTAAAACAAGAACCACCACATGGCTGTGCAATGCTTCCCAAACTTAAGAGTTCACGTGGTTTCACGTCAAGAGTGCTTTCATAAGAGATTGTCCAATATTTTCCTCCTCTACCATAAAAGCAAATATAGTGAAAATCACCTTTCAGGTACATTGAGAACACTGAATCCTGGCAACTTTCGAGAATAATCTTAAGACAAGCAAAGCTACCCTGAAACTGAGAAACTCTGCCAAGGTCTCAATTTTGCTTGTTTTACTCATTTTCAAAGAGAGAGACTTATCAGTTTACAGTTCTTAATTTGTTCAAAAAGTTGTAATTTCAGCACATCAGGACAGCTAGAGAAGAACAAAGGAGGAGGCGAATCCTTGGGAAAGACGTGGGTTTTCTGAACATGGGTGTGTCTATAATAATTTTGTTCTATGAATAAAGATACACACAACTTTCCTTTGTCAAAAGTAGAATAAACAACTATATTAGGTAATAAAGACTTTCTGGATGCCAGAAGGCTCGTCTGCTCATTCATGTCTAGCATTGCAAGGACCAGAGAAGGAGCTTCTGAAACACCTCAAACCCGGTGTCTCCTCTGCTTCCTTCTCATCTGTCTTGTATCAAATATCGGCACAGCTTAAATCTCACCAAATGCCATTTTATTAAAGTTATGTTTTCTTTCCCATAAAGTGGCTTTGATGTCAAAGTAAATTCATTGTTAGAGATGTCAGGATACAAATGAAAGGTAGCAATCCCACTGTTCTTGATTTTAAGAAGGAATAATGAACATCAAAGCCTAATTCTGGGCCAATATTTAAACATCCCCCCCCCAGACCCTCCCTGGCAGCTGTGCACCCCCACCTGAGTGGCCACCTACTACTGCCCTCCTGTGGCACAGGTGAGTCCAGAGTCCCCAAGCAGTGATGCCCTGCTGACATCCCCAGCCCTTCCGTCAACCCTCCCTTCATTTCTTCACTCCATGACTCCACACTGAGCACCCTCTGGGAGCCAAGCATTATGCCAAGCACAGAACAACGGCAGTGGACAACAATACGGCCATGGTCACCTCCCCCCGCCTCCACAGAGCCAGAGGGCTTCACAACTGTTCATGTGAATACAGTGTCATTGCTTTGGATGTGGAAATGACTCTAGCAAGAGTAACAGACCTTGGGAGGGAGGGGAGGGGGAGGGGAGGGAGGGGAGGGAGGGGGAGGAGAGGAGAGAGAAGAGAGGAGAGGAGAGGAGAGGAGAGGAGAGGAGAGGAGAGGAGAGGAGAGAGAGAGGAGAGAGGAGAGGAGAGGAGAGGAGAGGAGAGGAGAGGAGAGAGAGGAGAGGAGAGGAGAGGAGAGGAGAGGAGAGGAGAGGAGAGAAAGAAGAGAAGAGAAGAGAAGAGAAGAGAAAGAAGAGAAGAGAAGAGAAGAGAAGAGAAAGAAGAGAATTAAGGGGAGGGGAGGGAAGAGAAGAGAGGAGAGAAGAGAGAGGAAGAGAGGAGAGGAGAGGAGAGGAAGAGGAGGGAGGAGAGGAAAGATAGGAGATAGGAAGGAAGGAAAGGGAGAAAAGAAAAAGCAAAGCACAGCAAAGCAGACCTTGTGTTGACTTGACACAGAAAACCACGGTTTTGCTACACTGCTGGGGAGGAAGGAGCAAGATTTCCTGTGGAGTCCAGTTTCAGTAGAGATGTACCTCATCTCCATAATAAGCAAATTCCAGGGAACCACCTGCACATCCTAAAGGACTGGGGATCAGCCCTGCAATTGGCTCAGCAGGGGTGCGTAGGCGGAGGCCCTCCCCCGGGGGTCCCCACAACAGGTGTGCACCCGCCCCGACCATCTCCACATGGACCATCTCGACATGCAGCGTCTCTGATGTTGCCCAACCATTGTGGACACTAAATAAATATTTGTGGAACCGACCTGACTTCAACCAAGAAGTGTTTGCCCTGAATATGAGAAACAACCAGGGGTTCCAGGATCACACCTCGAACCGGAGATGAGTCACTTCTCGCCCAGGTTCGCGACCCCTAAGCACAAGCCCAGCCTCTCTGGCTCATCAAAAGCTGAGTAAGCAAGTCCATGACAACACACCCAGAAGACGTACCTCATTTCGTGCCACCAGAGTTATAAACGCTCCTTGTTTATAGCACTCGATAGCAATGCACTTTCCAATGCCGCTGGAGCCTCCTGTAACCTAAAAGCAAATATAATAAAAATCTTAGCTCTTGCAATTTCCCTTCTCTGGGAAGTTTATTTAAAACAACTGGGACGGGCTCTAAAACCCAATCTACAAGAGACAGATTTTTTAGCTATTGTAGTTTCTTCGTCCCAGACTCAATGAATGAATTAAGCAGAGACATGAAAGATTTTACTGTCTTGCTGCTTTGTTTTTGGTACTGAACTATAAATTGCACATCTATATTTTTCTGCGTTTACTGGAGGGAAAGTGCCCTATAACTCGAGCTAATAAGTAAGCCATTAGTCTACCTCTGGTTCCAAATTTAAATGAATCTTATTTCCTTATTGCTTATCTCCTGTGTGACTATCTTCTCAAGAGAAGAAAAGAGCCACTTGCATAGATCTTCTAATATTTTACATGACCGCTTCTTAAAAAAGTATACAGGATCATATGGAAATACCAAAAGGGAAAGCTTTCCTTCTTGCACTATTCCCCCATAATCTATAGCGCAGCTCTACTGGCTTTGAGTTCCATGCTCCCTCCAACCACAGGGCCTTTGCACATTCTATCTCCCCTGCCCTTCTTTCATCTGGCTGGCATCCATTCACCCATTAAATCTCAGCTCAGGGGTGCCTGAGTGGCTCAGTCGGTTAAGTATCCAACTCTTGGTTTCAGCTCAGGTCATGATCCCATGGGTTGTGGGATCCAGTCCCATTTTGCTGGGCTTTGTGCTCAGCAGGGAGTCTGCTTGGAGATTCTCTCCCTCTATCCCTCCTCCCTCCCTCCCTCCCTCCCTCCCTCCCTCCCTCCCTCCCCCCCACCAAATGAATAAATTTTTAAAAAATAAATAAATCTCAGCTCAAACATCACTTCCTCAGGAAAACCTTCACCTGCCCATTCCCTAACCTCAACCCACTTTTCAGCACCGCATCCTTTTCCCTTTACTTTATGGCACTCACAGACTCAAACAGCCGTGCATTTATTTGTGTGGTTATCTGATTCACGACCATCTCTCCTATCCCTGCCTCATAAATGCCCTAAAAATACCTACTCTCTTTCTGCTCCCCACTACATTCCTAGCACTTAGCACAGTGCCTGGCACATAGGAAGGGCTTGCTACATACTTACCTAAGTAAGACAGGTGTAATATTATTTTTCTAGTCATTTTTCCTATGCAAATTATATAATACAGGTCAAGAGAATGGAGGGCCCCAGGCTGTCAGGTGAAGGAAGGGGGGGAAGTTTCACATAGGCAGCTGACCTTACATGGGATCATATCCTATATGATATGATATATACGTCAAAATATCTTACGTCAAAAAAACTAATAAAAGGCTTTACAATATTACATTAAGGAGCCGTACTGAAACTTAGCTGTCGACTTCCATACAACACACATTCGGGTGATTTCAAATATTTCACCATTAGGTATTAGTCATGTTGTAATGAACATCGCTGATCCCATCTCAATTATTTTAAAGTTATCAGGAAGCCATGCCTCCACAATGTCCCAATCTCCATGGATGCTTCGGCTTCCCTACTTCCCTTTAGCCAAGTCTTCACCACTGAAGAGGCTTCCTTGGCAGATAATTAACCAATTTTCTCCAGAAGGTTACTGTCAAAAAATCTACCTGTTGCCTCAGCTAAACAGTTGCCTCTGAGGAGCTCTTTGCTGCCAAGATATTTCATGGGGGGCTCTGGCTTTTTAATTTTCACCCCACATTCCAATTCCATAGCAATTAACAGCCCCCCCCCCCCCGCTGTTGCTGCCTCAGTGTTCCTCCACCCAACATCCCCCGCATACCTACCTATCCAAATCCGACCTGTCCTGCAGAGGCCAGATCTAAGGTCCCCTCCTCCAAGAAGCTTTCCTGACTCTGTGGCTCAGTCCTGTCCTTTACCTGTCGCTTCCTCCGTTGTGCATGTTGTGGTAAGTCTTAGCTCCCTTACCAGACTGTAAGCTCCTTGAGAACGAGCACCAAGTCCCATTTATCTCCCTCCCTCTGAGCACAGAACCCTCATAAGCAGCTGCTAAAGAAACCCTCAGCCTACATTATTGCAAAATGGTACAGTGGTACCATTTCTCTGAGGAATACAATGCCAAAAAAAAAAAAAGTGTAAATAGTTTCCCTATTTGTTACTCAGTAAATTATTGGAAGTTGAAGTTATGAGGCTATTGAGAAAATTTATAGGCTCTAAAGTGCTTTTACTATTACTGCTGTGTTTCATCTAGACTGTTGGTGGGTAAGCTAGCTGTGCTCATGTACCGCACAGCCAAGATACTGTCCAACCTGATAACTCCTAAGTTTTTTCTGTAAGAGCAAGGGTAAGAAGACTTTAATCTTTCGGTCTTAGCTCATGAGAAACTAACCTTCTAATCAAGCTAATGCTTCAAAAGTATCTAAGAATATACATAAGCCAAGTCTAGGCTGTGTTATTCTGAATGATATAAGAAAATGGAAGAGATTTTCACAATGGCTGAGAAAAGCGGGAAATACGGATTGGGCTGCCTGACAATTGGTAAGTTGGGCCCAGATGTGGGACACTCACAATAACTGCTTAATTCCCTTTCCTTATCACTGCCTCTCACCATTCGATGCAAAATATTATCTTATTCTTACTGTCTCTTTCATCACATCAGACACCCCTTATCGAGGACAAGAGACAGGGCGGTTTGCTGCAAGAACTGCTCCCAGCCATTTCCAAAAAAGGGAAGACCTGATTTTCCAGTTCTCAACAAGTCCATTAAACAGCTTAAAAAAAAAATAATTAAATAAACAAACAAACAAACAAGCACGTACCCTGCAATACTTCTGCAGTTTTGCCCCTGTCTTTAGGGAGATTACACTAGTTCTAAATAGAAAGCGATAAATAATTATGACCTCAGTCTGCTCCTGCTTTCACACAGGCAGACATTCTAAACGTTAGCTCCCTCTCCTAGCACCACCTGGTCCGCTCCTAACAAACCTCAAGAAAAAGAACTGCACTTTCCCTTGTCTTATGACATTAAAAAAAGAAGACAGATGGTGACATCATGTGAATTATTCATGTCATCCTCACATTATTTATAGTGGCGTATTGAAGTGGGACGGTGAAGAGAAGTCTCTTTCGTTTACCCCATCAGACCTGGTCTTACTCACGGCCTGCAGCGGAATGAAACTGGAAGGACTGGAATCAAGGTTAACTGCGACTCCTTTATAAATACTGAACCAAAATGTTCATTCCTGCTTTGGGGCTCTGCGTTTTTTCCAAAGTCACGCTCCGCAGGCCTAACTTCTGAAGGACCGCAACTCTCAGAGCCACGCTTCGGGGGCACAAGTCCCCTCGCAGAGGTGACACCTGCAGCATTCGGCCTAACTGTCGAGTTTTGCTTCTCTCGCTCGCTGCTGCTGAAACGAGCGGACACTAACCCCCTCTACCTTGCGCATGGGGGGTGGCAGGCGTTGGAAACAGGCTTCCTGTGTTTACAAAGGGCAATTTAAAGAAGAGGAAAAAAACACATCTTCTCATGCACCAACGCTTGCTGTCCAGGTTTAAAGCACCGTGAACCGAAGGAGCGTCCGTCCGGGGAGCGCCCGCGCGGGCACGCGCCTGGGTCACCGGGGCAGGCTGGCGCCGCCGGCCCGGGAGCCCGGTCTCCTTACTGCACAGCCTCCCCCCGCAGGGCGGTGCGCCCCGGGGGCTGTGGGGGCCGGCGGGGGCCTCGGACGAGAAGCCGGAGCAGGTGCAGGCGCCGGGCGCAGGTGAGGAGGTGCGGACACCTGCACAAAGGCGAAGGCGCGAGCTTCCGGGGCGAAGCCGGCCGCCGGCGTCGGCTCCCGGCTCCCGGCTCCTGCCTACGCGCCAGCAGGTCGGAGGCTCGTCCGGGAGCCCGCGCGGCGGCCCAGCGCGCCCCGGGGAGCCCGGGGGGAGCCCCGGGGGAGCCCCGGGGGGGGGGGCCCGGCGGAGCCCCGACGCCCCCCCGCCCAGGTGAGTCACTTCCCGAGTCTCCTCCCGCGGCTGCTCTTTCTGTCCTCGCACAGGCCGAGCCCCGGCCCCGGCCCCGGCCCCGGCCCCGGCCCGCGCCGCCGCCGACCGCGGTGTCCTCGGCAAAGTTTCCCAGCCTCTCGGCTCCTCGGTGGACTCCTCGGGAACCCCGAGCGCGAACCCCGGCCGGGCCCCCGCCGTGCGCCCCGCACCCCGCACCCCCACCCCCACCCCGGGGGCCGCGGGGACCGGCCGGGCTGCGCGGCGGCAGGTGGCCCCGCGGGGAGACGGACGCGGGCGGCTGGGCCTCGGGCCTCGGGCCTCGGGCCTCGGGCCTCGGGCCGGGCTGGCGGCGGCCGAGCGGGCCGGGCGGCGGCGGCGCAGCAACAGGAGGCCACTCACCACCACATGCGCCCCGGGCAGGGCGAGGGGCTTGGGGCTGATGAGCGGGGACACCATGTAGAGCAGCAGCACGAACGCCACGAGGAAGGCGGCCGCCAGCAGCAGCATCGCTCGGCGGGGCCGGGCCGGAGGGCGGCGGGCGGCGGGCGGCGGGCGGCGGGCGGCGGGCGGCGGGCGCGGGGCTCGGCGGCGCGGCGGTCACGCGCGGCCGCGCGCAGCAGGAGCCGCTGTTTGGGTTCGCGGCCGGCGCGGGGCGGGGCGGCGGCCGGAGGGGAAGAGGCGGAGCCGGCGGAGGGCGCGACCGCGGCGGGGCGGGGCGGGGCGGGGCGGGGCGGCGCTTCCCGGGGGCGGGGGCGGGGGCGGGGACGGGGACGGGGGGGACCGGGGGGCCCGCGCCCCTGGAGCGCCCCGAAGGCCCGGGGGTGGCCGCGGAGGCCGGCTGCCCGGGGGCACGCGGTCCCGGGGCGCCCCCCGCCGCCCCGTGGAGCCCCGACGCGAAGCCGACCTCCCGGGCCCGGCGCGGCCTCCGCGGCGGGCTCAGCGCTCGGGCACGGCCCACGGTCGGGGAAGCCTGGCGGTGGAGTTTCCTTGGGCTTCAGAGCTCCTCGCCTTTCCCGAGGCGAGGATCAAACCCAAACCAAAACAAACCGCTTCACTGAGATCTAATTCACATCCCATCCCATTCACCGACTGAAACTGCACAATACATGGTGTTTGGCGTAGTCCCGGACTCCTGCAACCACCACCACAGTCCATCTAGGACGTTGGGTTAGTGATACACACCCCCACCCTAAAAGGTCCTGCACCCTTCAGCAGCCACCCCCCTCCCCGTTCCTCCCAACCACGCCCCCAGTCCTAGGCTATCACCCATCTGTATGTCTCTAGATTTGCCCAGCCTGGATATTTCGTATAAATGGAATTCTGCTATACGCAGCCTTTTCTGTCAGGCTTATTTCACTTAACATAATGCTTTCAAGGTTTATCCCTGCTGTACAATGCTACTGCACTTCACCCTTTTTATCACCAACTTGTAGTCCCTCGTATGAATTGATCACATTTCATTTATCTGGACATAGAGGTTGTTTCTCTTCGGGGGCTGTTAGGAATTACAGTGCTGGGCACCTGGGTGGCTCGCTGGTTCAGCATCTGCCTTTGACTCAGGTTGTGATCCCCGGAGTCCGGGGATCGAGTCCCACATCCAGCTCCCCACACGGAGCCTGCTTCTTCCTCTGCCTGTGTCTCTGCCTCTCTCTCTGTCTCCCATGAATAAAAAAATAAAATCTTTAAAAAAAATAAAAAGGAATTATAGTGCTGTGAACATTCATGGATGAGATTTTGTGTGGACATATGCTTTCATTTCTCTTGGATACAGACCTCGGAGCAGAATGGCTGGATCTACGGTAACTCAATGCTTAACCAGAGCTGCCAGATATTTTCCAAACAGCCACATCACTTTCCGTTCCCACCAACAGTAAGTGTTCCAGTTTCTCTACATCCCTACCAATACTTATTATCAGTCTTTTTAATTATAGCCTTTCCAGGGGGTGTGGCATCTCATTGTGGCATCTCATTGTGATATCCAAATATCCTTATTTGGATAAGGCACGGAAGTTTGCTTGTTTGCTTGCTTTACCTTTCTGTTTTTGTTTTCAGAAATGGGAAGGAGCTCAGGGGCAAAGGGAGTGATCTAATGTTTTTTTCTCTCTTAATTTATTGCCCAGAGTTAGGCGAATGACAAGGTTTGAGGGCACAGTCCGCAAAACTTCTGACACCACTTCAAATTTGGGGGTTCCTCCCTAGAATAAAAAAAATTAAGAAATAAATTTAGGGGTTCCCAAACCAACTTCACTTTTGGTAATTCTCTGGAAGGCCTCACGGAATCCCGCATTGAGCTGTTATTCTCATGGTTGTAATTCACGACAAAGTCAGCCAAGAGAAGAAGTACATAGGGCAGAGTGTGGAGGCCTCCACCTGCAAAGCTCCGGTTGCCACCTCTCATGGAGTCAGGACACGTGACCCTCCCAGCATGGGTGGTGTGATACTAGAGTGGAGTATTGCAAACCAGGGAAACTCATCGAATGTCCAGAGTGTTTATTGGAGTTTTCATTATGTTGCCTGTATGGCTGAATGCAGTCTTCAGGTCAATTGATGTTGCCTGATACAACCTTCCACCTAACTCACATCGTTGGTCTTTCTGGCATGATCAACCTCCACCTTAAAAGTACAGATTGGCCTGCCCTCATTTAAACAAAGGTACTTCTATCAGGTATGGCACAGATTACCTCCAAGAAGCCAAAGACAGAGGCTAGCCCTTCTGTTCTGAGAAGACTCTGAGGCAAGCCTAGATTCTTTACTGCACAGGTCACTCCCTGGCCTTTATCCAAAGCTCTCCTACAGCAAAACAAACATATGCCCTAACATTTGGAGGAGGCAGTGTAGAGTAGGAGGCTCTTAACTCAATTTCTCAGGATTTGACCATCAAGGGGCGCCTGGGTGGTTCAGTCAAACATCTGCCTTCCACTCAGGTCATGATTTCAGGGTCCTGGGATTGAGCCCCGGTTGGGCTCCCTGCTGAGCAGGGAGTCTGCTTCTCCCTCTCATTCTCCCTCTGTGCTTTCTCTCTCTCTCTCTCTCTCAAATAAATAAATAAAATCTTAAAAAAAAAATCTGGCCATCCATATCAGTAATGCAATCTTACTGATAACACTGGCACTGATAAGTGCCAGTGTTACACCATACCCCAATATGGGCAGTAGACATGGCCTGAAAAATAAGAGTTGAAAGATAGTGGCATATCACTGGAATTTCACTCAATCATCAACAACTGGTCCAGTTCGTCATCACATCACGTGTCTCCCAAACCAATCCCTCACAGGTTTGCAGTTTCCATTCAACTCTATCAGCTTCTAGGAAAAAGAGTGGTGTCCAGCTGCTAAGACATCTGGTCTAACTGGACTCTAGTAGGAGACAATATCACCTCTTGCTATGAGCCTCGGTCAGGGTGTTAACGTCATACTGGATTTTACTTGTTGCATCGCCCATTTATTTGTTCTTTTACCTGCAGCTACTATTTCTCCTTCTGTTTTTACTCACACTTTCCCCTGTTGGAAGGAACACTAGGTTCAGCCTAGTTCTATGCTGTTCCAGATTGCCAGCACTGCTAGTAGTTGAGTGGACCCCCTCAGTCCATTCCCATTCATAGAGGGTACGGTGATACAGGCATACAGCTTGTGGGCTTTCTCAACCATGAGGCAACACAACTGCATTCACTATCAATCCCAATTTCATCAGAAGGAGTGAATGCATAACCTCCCCTCCCTTCGTCAGTGTCTTGGAATTCTACTATAAAGGTTGAAAAATATAGTTTCTTGCTTAGGGATGATCGTTGATTCTAGCACCTTCATTTGAAGCCCTGGTCCTTGGGATCACAGAATTGGGGAGAAAAAAGAAAGAAAGAAAGTTGAGGCAATGTGGAGGGAAAAAAAGCAGAAATTATGGTCATACCATACCATCTTCTCTCCATGGGAAGAACTGCATAGTCATACCGGCATTCTCCCTCACTCCCTCCAGATCCCCCAGAAAAGTGGAGAGATCTATCAAAGTGAGCAACACACTCCTGAAGACACATAAGTCATCCTTACATGTCTTTATCTCTCCCTCCCCCATTTTGTTTTCTTTTATTATTAACGGTGATTCATTCCAGAGAGAGAGAGAGAGAGAGAGAATGAAAGGAATAGAGAGGCAGAGGAAGAGAAAAACAGACTTGCTCAGAGCATGGAGCTTGACTTCACCACCCTGAGGTCACGACCGGAGCTGAAACCAAGACTCAGACTTTTGCCCGACTTCACCACCCAGCCGCCCTCCCTCCCCAGCTACCCCTTCCTCTTCCATTTTAGGCAACAAATGTTTCAATTACCTGTTCCAACTCTCCTTTAGACCTTTACTCAAGATGATATGCAGCATGATTCGTTCATCTGATGTGATATCTTTTTGCCCATTGTTGGACACTGTGGGCTGTAAAGTATGTTCTTTGGTCTGAAGAAATGGAATTGGTGGTCCGAATTGGTGCAATATCTTCTGGTCCCATCCTTTTATAGTGTTTTGAGCATTTGCACCTACCTCTAGGCATGCAGAACCCAGTCCAGAGTGTCCAGAGTGTATCTGTCCTTGTGAAAACCTGTTTGTAACCTTCCAGGACCAGCATCAGCCCAAGTACCAGTTCTGTGTTGGGCCTTCCTCGCAGGGAATCTGCCCCACAGCCATCTGCAGATGCAAAAAACTGCATCTCTGTCATTTTTTTGGCCCACAAAAAAGTTCTTATTGGCATTCTGTGCTCCAGAGGGTACAAGAGGACAATGTCTATATTCATCCCATCTCTACATTGCTTCACCAACAGGTTTAGAACCATCTAAATGTCTATCAATGGATAAGTGAATAAAGACAATGTGTTAAAAACATATACTATGAAATATTAGTTGGCCTTTAAAAAAAGGAAATCCTGCCATTTGTTATAACATGAATAAAACCGGGGACGTTACACTAAGTGAATATAGAAAGATTTCACAGAAATATAGAAAAATATTGCATAATCAGATTTATATGTGGGATTGTAGAAAAAAGAAAAAATCACAGTAACAGAGAGCAAAATGGTGGTTACTGGAGTCTGGGGCTTGGTAGGGAAGAGAAGATTAAGAAAGAGAGAGAGAAAGAAGAAAGAAAGAAAAAGTAAAAAGGAAAGTAGAATATCAGTTTCCAGAGGCTGGGCGGAAACTAGTGTGGAGAGTTACTGCTTAATGGGTAAAGAGATTCAGTTTTGCAAGATAAAAAGAATTCTGGAGACCAAGGTTATGATGTTTGCACAACAATATGAATGTATTCGATGCTACTGAGCTGTCAACTTAAAAAAATGATTAAGATAGTAAATTTCATGTCATGTGTATTTTATCACAGTTGACATTTCCCCCAGGTGGATTCTAATATGCTTCTATCAATATCCCAGCAAGATTTTTTGTAGGTAGAGGCAAGAGTATTCTAAAATTCATGTGTAAAGGCAAAGAAACTAAAATAGCTAAAAATTTTTAATAAAAGAAGAACAGACTGGGTGCCTGGGTGGCTCAGTTGGTTAACCATCCGACTTTTGATTTTTGGCTTAGGTCCTGGTCTCAGGGTCCTGGGATCCACCCACGTTGGGCTCTGCACTCAGCAGGGAGTCTTCTAGTTCCTTTATCTTTGCTCCCCAACCCCATCACACACATTCATGCACATGTGTGCGCTCTCTCTCTCTCTCTCAAATAAATAAATAAAATATTTTTTAAAAAATTAAAGAACAGAGTTCAAGGAATCAGCCTACCTGATTTTCAAGACTTGTATAGCTATAATAATGAAGGCTGTGTGGTACTGGCCTCAATGGGACCCAGAAACAGACCTACACGAATACACCACACTGATTTTTTACAAAGATGCAAAAGCAACTTAATGGAGGGGAAAGTAGCCTTTTAAATAAATGGTGCTGTGACAATTGGGCATCTATAGACAAAAAAAATTAACCTCGACTTGACCATTACACCTTCCACAAAAATTAATTCAGATGGTGTGATAGTTAATTTTATCCATCAATGTGACTAGACTATGGAGGGTCTAGATATTTGGTCAAACACTATTCTGGGTTTTTCTGCAAGAGTGTATATAGTGAGATAAACTTTTTTTTTTTAAAGATTTTATTTATTCATGAGAAACACAGAGAGAGAGGCAGAGACACAGGCAGAGGGAGATGTGGGACTCAATCCCAGGATCCGGGGATCATGACCCAAGCCAACCACTGAACCACCCAGGTGCCCTGTGAGACAAACATATAAATCAGTAGACTGAGTAAAACAGATTATCCTCCCCCATGTAGGTGGGTCCAATCTAATCTGTTGAAGGCCAAAATAGAACCCAAGGCTGACCCTCCACCAAGTAACAGAGAATTATTCCTACCTGATGGCCTTTGACTGGAACATCAGCTTTTTTTCTTGCCTTTGGACTTCAGTTGAAATATTGGCTCTTCCCGGGGCTGCAGCTTGCCAACTCACCTGTAGATCTTGGAATGTGACAGCCTCCATAATCATGTAAGCCAATTTCTTATAACCAGTCCACCAATCAATCCTCTATTGGTTCTGTTTCTCTGGAGAGCCCTGACTAATGCTGAAGGAATCACGGACATAAATGTAAAACTACAAAACCATTGGAAAAAACACTGGATTTTAAAAGAATGAAGACTTTGGTCAGTCAGGCAAAAAAATTCAGGCCACTTATTTATAAAAGAAATCAGGCTAGTTTCAGATTTCTCCATGGTGTCATTCAACACGAGAGAACAAAGATGCATCTATAAGATCCACAAAAAAAAAGAATGTCGAGCCAAGGTTTTGTATCCAGCTAATCCATGTTTCACCCCTTGAACGTGTAATAAATAAGGAAATGATTTTCCCTTGA